GTAAAATTTACCCAAGAAATTTTTATTTAATATTTTACATAACAAGTTAAACTTTATGTACTAATCTTAATTACGTTTTTAAAAAGTATTGCGTCGTTTCTGCTACTTCATACTAGATGGCGCTAGTAAGAACTTATAGTTTATTGAATCGCGGTATAAAGAGTTATATCTCGCCACAGAAATAAAATCCACATTACTTTCCGCTTATTTATATTGAGATTTAGGCTCAGTACCATAGGCGCTCGGCCACCTCAAGCTCGGTGAAGCTGTAAATGGCTCCTCAAGGCAAACAGTGGCAATTCAGTCACAAAAAAAAATTCTGCTTATGGCAGGTGGTGTGCGTTAGCATTACGCAGTCACCCCAACTCGGTGAAGCTGGTACGTTAGTTCCACGCACGCTAATCAAATTGGGGAGGTATTATGATGGGGTTTAAATTAGATTAGAACTTATATAAAATAAATAATAAGTTGTGTTTAGTTTATATTGAAAGTTTTTGCTATCAATGTAAACATTTCAGCCTACATTAGTTAAGAGTAGCAAAGTTAAGTTTTCTATTGTTATAACTAAACTTTTTTGAATTATGAATAATTTGGTTTAACATAGTAATAATTCAATCTTATTTTATTTTTCTTATAATATTATAAATGCGAATGTTTAGATGGATGGATGGATGTTTGTATTGATCATAGTCTGAGAGAACACATAGGCTACTTATTTAGTTTTTTTTTTATTTGGCGCGGGCGGATTTGCGTGTGACAGCTACTTTAGAAATAAAACCTTCTCTTTAGTTTACCGTGGTTTTCAGAGGTATGTATGGGTATAAAAATTTCTGAAATTACGGTTTTGCAGAACTCACTCCTGTTGTAATTGAAAACATAAAAAAGGTAAGAAAATTTTAATATACAAATCCTAAAATGAATTTTTATGTGCAATAAAAGCAAAGTACTTTGAAAAGTAAATCCTTAGTAGGTTTGGTAGAATCGTTAAGACTTTATACTTTATGACATAATCTGCTTATCAAATTTTGCCTTTGCTGTAAATTTTCATTTCAAATCAGTATAATATACAACCCAATTTTAATGTATAAAATTTTTAAATATTTCATGGATTTAAATTTTACTAAAAATCTTAAAAAAAATATCAATTATGCAAAAAATTCTATTTAATAAAAAAAACGAATTTCCAAACAGTAATTTAGTATAATAGTTTTATCAATAAACACGGGAAGCAATATCCCCTGACTATCGACGGTGAAATTTTCATTTATTTTAATAATATATTAAAGTCACGACGAAAAGACCTCGAATCCATTTTCTAAGTCCGTGACTTCAATAAGAAAATGCCTACAATTTACATGTTGCGTACATCCGCTTGACCTCACGTTTTCGATCAAATTAGGATAAAGTCAAAATTAAATTAAATTTCCTGCCTTGACCACGACATTAAATCTTATAATCTACAAATTCACACTTCAAAAACGATAAAACCCTTCCGTCTACAGGAGTTCACAATAGAATGGAATTACATACAAACCCCGAACCCCCAACCCCTCCGTCTGACCCAAACACATCTTGACTGTAGAAAAGGTTTGTGAAAGGGGGTAATTATAAGTATACAGTTTTAAGGTTCTTTTGTTTCGAACTTTGTAAACGTGCATAACTTTAGTACTTGACTTACGGAGTTAATTTAAAGTTACTCTAGTAGCTCAGCACAAGTTGAAAAGTTAAAGAGTTGAGAGAGGTAAGTAAGATAAACAATTCTGTAGTCTATGCTTTACATTGAAATAAAGAGGAAATCTTATTTGTGTAATAGGAGTACTGACCAAACCAGACTAATTTTATTGTTTGCGGTATAAAGCTGTGCTATGCTGAATGAAATTTTATTGCAAATTTGGCCAAAATACAATGATTGCATTTTGGCCAAATTTGTATTCCTTTTCGTATTCCTTCTCAGTAATGCCGTGCTGTCAACTAGTGGCAATGACCCGTTGTCCTACGTGATGACAAACACGATACCGTGACACAACCCAACACGAATCATTATCACATCGATAATAGCTTGATAAAAACTAAAAAAAAAACAACTTCACAGCCTAAGGTCATAGCGATTAGGTATTTTGAGGCAAGTCATCAATTCAATGTGGTAAACATTAACGGTTTATTTAGTATCACCCAATTAAGTTTAAAAGAAAATGTATATTAACATTTAATCAGCCAGCTCTTCTAAAATGCTTTTATTCTATTATTATAGCCATCGTAACAACTGAACAAGAAGCAAAAACAATGAAAAGGAAAATAGTGAAATGTAATAAAAAAGAACATAATTCAAACGAAAGCCTGCTAGTGACACTAAGGTATACAGCGTGTGAGAAATAAACGCAGCTTAATGTTATTTTCCTTTTGAATGTAAATAATGGTTTTCCGAAATAACAATGAGAACAAATAAGAGCAAATGCAGTCATAACGTGTAGATCAGAATGGGAAATTAAAGACAATTAAAGACGACAATAAAGAAGGAGACTTATGTCTGTCTAGGACCTAACTTTAGTTTGTCATATAGACTTACTTTTTTTTTAAAGTATACCGTACTACAAAAGAATCACAAATTTCAAAAATACTTGTACGTCAGCATCGCTTTAAAGCAACCATTTTGGTCGCTTTGTAAAAGACTAGAATTCTAAGAATATCCATTGATACATAGTTGTTCGCAACGCAAAAAAATCTTTGCTCAAATTGTTGCTATTGCTATAAAACTGTGTATTTGATGTACTAGACAAAAATCTACATTTGGTTAAGTAAGTTGGATATGTTTCATCTCAGTTAACAATACCCATAGGGAGGGCTCCCGCACGATGGACCGATGACCTGGTCAAGGTTGCGGGAGTGCACTGGATGCGGGCGGCACAGGACCGGGCATTGTGGCAATCGATGGGGGAGGCCTACGTTCAGCAGTGGACGAATTGGGGCTGAATATGATAACAATACCTTGGATATGGGAGTGGTTTTGACTTATGGAATTTGCACTTTCTCTGAGTGCCAAACTGCGATCTATCTGGGATCGTTTTGCAGGACGATGAGGGTCCAACCATGTCCGCGTACTCTGCAGTTAAAATATATATTTAACCTTTTAATTACTTTTAATTATTTTTACAATTATTAGTTGTGATAATCTATCACACCTGAGCTACGTCATATCAAAACAGTTTGGGATTAAATTTCGATTATTGATACGATGGAAAAATACAAACGTTTACTAGATAAGTTTTAATCTGCGCATTTGCAAGTCTACGCAAAAATATATAAAAATATTAAGACGTGTATGGGCGGGCCATGAGTAGATACGTCTTCAAGCAGAAGAGTACTCTTGTAACTGTCGTGCCAAAATAAATGTCAAGTACTATATTTATGTCACATAGATCCCCCCCTCTCTTATGTTACATGGAGGTGATCTTCAAACAGGTGCTGCAGAAGCCTTCCTTCCTGGTATTTCTAGAAATACCTATTGTTGTCAGACAGAAAGTTAATGGATGCGATTCGTCCAAACTTTGTCGACGGAATTAGGGATGTCCAGCGGTTGAATGACACTAGCTGATGTTGGCAATACAAATTACCGATAATCTTAGAGGATTACTTATTATAAAATGTTTTGTAATAATTTATAGCCACCACAGATGTCACCGTACGGACGGATTTTTTAAATACAACTGGTAATTGCGGTCCGCGTATGGCTCAAATTCTGATTACTCAATGGTGATGATTTTCGGTATAGACTTATCGATAAAGTCCGTGTATGGCGACGCTTACAATAGCTTAATAATAATAAGTTATATGACTTTGATAAATATAATAATCTACACGTAAAACTAATGCCAGTGGAAGTTAGATATTCGTTATCAAATTTGCATGAAAATTATCCTCGCTGGTAGGATTTAAAGGATTAAGCGATAAAGTTTTAGAAACAATAGACTTAAAGTAATAAAAATCATAGCATTTAAGATTTATAACACGAAAATATAAATCATTTTGAAGAGTCACTCGTCTAATAATGGAGAAAATGAAGTACCAATGAATTTTATTGTTTTGTTTTTATACTGTTTAACCAACTACAGATTTAATTCGTCAATTGAAAGCTTCTAAGAAGTTAAGCGTCGGTGGCTCAGAGGTCAAGCACTTGACTTGCAATCTGCAGGTCCTGGGTTCGAATCCCGTCATGTATTAATGTGTTTTTTCGATTTCCGATTTACCTATGTACAGTTACCCGACGTTCCGACGGTGAAGGTAGACATCGTGATGCAACCTGCTCATATCTGAGAAGAAATTCAGATATGTGTAATGCGTGGTTGAATATGGCCTAATCACCGTAACTTAGGGTAGACTCCGAGCCCCTCGGTGGGGACGTATAGTGAGCTGATGATGATGAATAAGCTTAAAACTGCAGACACCTCAGTATATTTAGTTTCGCTGTGTATTTAGCATAGATAATTAGGAAGAAAAACACCTTGCCCATCCCTCTGCCTACGTCATGCCTTCCTGCGTACACTTTTGTCAATGACAAGCGACAGAACTGTGATATACACGGTATTATCTAATAGATTACTTCGTGACGTTTTTGAATATTCTAAACAAGACCTTTCAATATGCATGTTTAGTATACGTCAGTACAATTTTATTTTAGTTTGAGAAACCTTAAACAATATTATTACAGCCCCCTCGAATTGATCAAAAATAGCAAGCAATTGAGGCTGATTAATGCTTGAAGTTTCTATACTATTACTTTATATAATATAGTTCAATATGCTAAGCTCTTTCCAAAGGTATTTAAAATAATTATTAACAATTTTCTTTAATTATTTAACATTTCCTTAGGTATTAAGAAACGTCACTCTACACGCCTTTTCTAAATAATATTACTCTTATTCAAATCAATTATCGGAGAATTAACCGAGATAAAACTCAACCACGCGATATAAGATTTTTTCGATAGTGAAACGTAATAAATACTTCTGGTCTGTCGCCAACCGCCATTACAGTAACTATGAAGCTTTTAGTGATTGTTTTCGCTCTTATTGCGGGTAAGTAGCAATCATCACTATCAACAACTCCTCAAAAACTCAGCAATCATCATCTACCTTTTATTAAACACTAGCTGTCGACCACGATTTCGTCCGCGCGCAATTGAACAAAAACTTAATAAGTAGCCTGTGTTTTCTTCCAGACTATGTCCTATATGCCAAACATTCAACCATCCCTCCAAACATTCGCAATTATAATATTAGTAAGATGGAAACATCCTATCCTTAAATCACTTAATGAAAATTAGCGTGATTTTGCCCTGTAGTTCGAATTATTCATCTTTTCAAAACTTTATTGACGTTAAAACAATCCTCAGTTTAAAACGCAACAATGTTACACGCTAACAACAACATCATCATTTCCGATTCAACTCTGTATATATTTAGAGCACTGCACTTTGACCTATAGAATTATAATACTTTGTCAAATTTCCTTTTACGGGGGACGACAGGAAGATACATCAAAAATTGTAATTGTCCCTAGATTTTAACGCATCACACTGTATTTATTTGTTTTTCTTGCAGTGTGCAATAGCGCACCATTCGACTCGATCCCAGGGGACAACAGTCACTATGTAGAGGGTGTCAGTCGGTACGTCTGGATACCAGATGGAGAGGGCGTACCCCACCTAGTAGATCTACACGAGCCTGTCGATCAAGATGTCCTTAATGGAAGAAATGGCGCAAACAATCAGTACTGGCTGTTCACAAGGTAATTCATTTTCATCATTTTTCTTTTAATTTAAAACCAAAGGTTCTGCCTATTAAATGAAATCTTGCATTTCATGATATAATGACGGAACCCATTCTCATAGACAACATTTTATGTAACTTTTCAGGCGTAATCCCAACAATCACCAAATTCTTGTTAATGGCAATGCTAACTCAGTCAGTAACTCCAACTATGATCGCAACCGTCCTCTAAAGGTCATCGTCCACGGCTGGAACAGCAACGGCAATTCCAACATTAACCCTATCATTACCTCAGCTTTCTTAGCTGTTCAAGATTGCAACGTTATTGTTGTGGACTGGCGTGATCTAGCAAACAGGAACTACCTTACTGCTACAAACGGCGTACCCGGCGTTGGACAGTTCCTTGGCAACTTTTTGGTTTGGCTGATAAACACTGCTGGCGGTAACTGGAACAATGTTCACTTAGTCGGCTTCAGTTTGGGGGCTCACGTCGTAGGAAACGCTGGGCGCACCGCCGGAGGCAGGCCCAGACGTGTTACAGGTGAGAGCTCAAGTAACTTAATTAAAAGTGTGTAAATGAAAGAGTTTATATCTGCTGCTCTATTCATTGCAGCAACGTTGATCTTGGTGTAATGATTAAAATATTTATTAACATCCAATTCAGTTAGTGTCTTTTCTACATGTGGTCAATCTACTGGTGTTCGTCTACACATAAATTTCTCATTCTACCTCTAATTGAAATATTGTTATATTATCAGGTCTCGATCCAGCTGGTCCCAACTGGGGCGGTAACTCAAATGCCTTGAACCGCAACGCTGGTGGCTACGTTGAATGCATTCACACTGATGGTGGACTCTTGGGCATCTTCGATCCAATCGGTGACACAGACTTCTATCCCAACGGAGGTCGAAATGCACAACCAGGATGCTGGATCAGCACTTGCTCCCACAGCCGTGCATACGATCTCTTCGCGTCTACAGTACGAACAAATCACTTGGTTGGAAGGCGATGCAACAATTTAAATGAGGCTAGAAATGTGCAATGTGCTGGTGCCACTCTTAACATGGGCAATGGAGTTATAAGTAAATCTGGGTAAGTTTTTAGTGGATTGATATGAAAAAGAGCAAGAAAGAACGATATACGTACGTATACATAAGCGTTTTTACGTACAAACATCAAAAACACCAAGAAGCGTATCCAGATACATTACATACATTGATTAATAATTATTGGGTTACTTTGGGATATTTCATTTCTGGAATTTCTCTTTGTTCTTATCCTTTATTTGTTTTCATTTCAATAACATTCCTTGTTGCCCCGAAAGTACAAAAGGATTTTTGAATGTTAATGAGTTTGTCGCACTTTCTGATTTCAAGATACACAAATTCATCGAGTTCCACATACTCGTATTGTCTTATCTCAACATATCCAATATAACCCTATTTAAATATAATAATGTGAATGAATACAAGCTTCTGGATGAAATAGATATAAAGAGCTACAAGTTTTACAGAAATTTCTAACGAAAAACATATGTGATAAGTCGCAGGATACAACTAGTACGATTAAATAAACATCTAATATTAAATTTATTTTTGTTACAGATCTGGTCTTTACGGTCTGCGAACTGGTGACAGATGGCCGTACTAAAACTGAAGACATTGGCTTGACAATAAATTATATTGCATAAAATCTATTCTTTTTTTATAAAAACCCAACGTTTTCTGATGAAAAATTAAAAATTCTGATAGCATTACCGAACAAATAAACTATATTACAAAAAAAAACGATTACAGTTATCGTAGTTGTTACTAATTTTACTAATATCATAAATGCGAAAGTTTAGATAGATGGATGGATAGATACTATAGGTATGGATGTTTGTTAGATATCTCCGTAGCAGCTCTAAGTATCTTGATGAATTATAGCATAGAATATAGTATGGAAGTACAAATAGGCTCCTAATTAAATTTTTATTTAATGCCGCGCGGACATAGTCACGGGCGAAAGCTAGTTATAACAAAAAAGGACAAATAAATAAATCGGTTTTATGTATGATGAATAATAACTGGCATAATAATGGGCATATCAGACTATCAGTCAGCGTGTGCTGTAAAAACCAGGGGACGTTGTGCAGAGGCGTGGTTCAGAGAAGTCATCCGTATGGCGTGCACTCCGTAGTATATATTTTAGGCTGGCCTCATTTCAGAATATCGTACAAAAATAATCTTTGTCGCAAATGGTAAACTATAAGCACACAGGTCACTAATGACAATTTTAATCCCTCGTGAACAACCCAAACTGATTCTACAGTTGTAGAATCCATTATTCTCGATAATGACGCTCGGGCCCACCGCTCCATAAATGTTAATTTATATATGCAAGACATTGGAATTCGCCGATAAGATTGGCCTTCGCGAAGTCTAATTCGGTCTTAATTCAATCGAGCACGTCTCGATATATCTTTATACGAGAATAACTTTGAACGACTTGTTCGATTAGTTTAACCATTTCCTCAAATCAGAGAGTTGAGTGTACTGTAGAGTAGGAGGGAGAATTCCTTAGGAAATTGTAATATATATGTCATCCAAAGCATTCCTAGAAAAATAAAAGCCACATGATTAGCCATACACACCTTCCTTTGTAAATAGTCCATGGAATCAGTAGTACAGTGTAATGTCCAGCAATTTTTGCTTTTCTAATTAAGCCAAATTTTCTAGTCACCAAAATTCCTTTCGGCTTTTACTATAAATTCAATGTTTTAATCGATTAGATCTAATTAGTTAAGGACAAGAACATCAATGTTTGCAGGAACGAAACCAATACACCGTTAAAATCACGATAGCTTTTAAATTCACACTTTTTATTTAACTATTACACTTACCGTTGAACATATGGAAGCGTAAACAACGATTTCACCCAATAACGTATCATCAGATATATCAGAAATTATCAGTAGTAGATAGAAGGTTCAATTATTTTCCACAACTCCGAAAACGTTTATTTGGAGTAGTTTTATTTATTCTCAGCTCTCGGCTCCCTTTCCTTTAATTTTTATCTAGATTTATTTGACAGAAAACTAGGCGCCAAATTATCATCGCATATACTAATATATTTATTCCTTCTCCTACGTTATGCGCACTTTGCACACACAACGTTAAATGGTGGACGCAAGACGTCTACTTGGTCAATACCGTCATGTCGACCACATATCATAACTTTTCTCACAAAGGGACAAACAGGCTGTGAACGGCTGGTTTTAGCGTCTAAAGAACAAAATTTCGGCGACGCAAGCAGGGGCGTTCGAATCTACATTATATTGTATAAGGCGCTTAGGGACTATAATTCTCGAGTTTTTAAGATTTGCGTTGCTTTGTTTACGAAGGGCGTTACTATTGCTATCAATGGCGTGGCACAAGGAGGCGTGAGCTTCTGTCTACTTTTCATCTTCAAATCAATCATTACTAATCAAATAATATAATTACGCACGGTCGTGATAATGAAGAGTTCTTATGATAATGAATCCAAATAAATACCGCTAATTTGAGACAGTATCTGCCAAAACAGTAACAATGAAGCTCCTAGTGATCGTTTGCGCCCTTATTGCAGGTAAGTTTTCATCGTCGCCTCACTCTATCCATGAAGATGAGGTAATATGGACCGTACCAACTGGAAATTCGCAAAACTTTTGCTCCCTGGATTCATTAATTATAGCCAAAACCTGACCTAATTACAATCTCAACCTAATCGTTGCCTGTATAAATTCAACGTCGTATTAGTAATTTTTTTTCTAAATTATGAAAATAGAAAAGAATTCCCTCCTTCGCTTATTACATAAAGGTTATTCTTCCCAAAACAAAAATTAAAAACAATGCATTCCGAAAGGAGTAATATCCACTACAGGTTATCACTGAATTTGCAGCGTGCAGTTGTGCACCGCCATCCATGATCCCAGGAGACAATAGTCACTACGTAGATGGTGAAAGTCGGTACGTCTGGATACCAGATGGAGAGGGCGTACCCCATCTCGTTGATTTGGAAGAACCTGTCGATGAAGATGTCCTTAACGGAAGAAATGGCGCAAACAATCAATACTGGCTGTTCACGAGGTAATTTTCTTAAAACCGTTTATAAATGCATCGTCTAATTTATCAATTCGTAACAAAAAATCTTTAACCCCTTAAAACCCTACTAGAATATTCCGACAAGGATTACTTGATGCCCGTCTGTTTTCTAGGGCCAAGAATACATACGTGTTCGTGAATATCATTATTGAACTTTTTAACTTAAAATATATACTTTTTTGTTCTAGACGCAATCCCAACAATGCCCAAATCCTTCGCAATGGGAATGCTGGCTCAGTCACTAGCTCCAACTACGATCGCAACCGTCCCCTAAAGGTCATCGTCCACGGCTGGAACAGCAACGGCAATTCGAACATTAACCCTATCATCAGATCAGCATTCTTAGCTGTTCAAGACTGCAACGTGATTGTTGTCGACTGGCGCGATCTAGCAAATAGGAACTACGTTACTGCCGCAAATGGTGTACCCGGCGTTGGACAGTTCCTTGGCAACTTTTTGGTTTGGCTTATCAATACTGCTGGCGGTAACTGGAACAACGTCCACTTAGTCGGCTTCAGTTTGGGTGCTCACGTTGTAGGAAATGCAGGTCGCACCGCAGGAGGCAGGCCTAGACGTGTTACAGGTCGGTCTTTTAGTAATTTATATACAAGTTTGTCAATAGTATAATAAAAACTCCTTCTCGATGGCCGGTAGATTACCAAAGGAAACATTTTCTTAAATTTTTTTTTTTGGTACCAGGTCTCGATCCCGCTGGTCCGAGGTGGGGCGGTAACTCAAATGCTCTAAACCGCAACGCTGGTGGATATGTTGAATGCATTCACACTGACGGTGGACTCTTAGGCATCTTCGACCCAATCGGTAACACCGACTTCTATCCCAACGGAGGTCGAAACGCACAACCGGGATGCTGGGTCAGCACTTGCTCCCACAGCCGTGCATACGATCTCTTCGCATCGACAGTAAGAACTAATCACTTGGTTGGAAGGCGATGCAACAATTTAAATGAGGCTAGAAATGTGCAATGTTCTGGTGCCACTCTTAACATGGGTAATGGAATTATAAATAAATCTGGGTAAGTAATACATTAAGGCTAACTTTAATTTTCAGAAATGACGTATTCAGCAACTTCCAGTTTCCTTCTTAGGACAAGAAATACTAATTTTTATTGTGCCCTTCCATCATCGACTTTACAAACTGAATACAAGCTAAATAAATTCTACTATTATAATACTAAACAATACAATACTAATATTTTTCGCTTTTAAGAAACTCTAACACTTACGTAATCTGTTTTTTGTTACAGATCTGGACTTTACGGTCTTCGAACTGGCGACAGATGGCCTTACTAAAAACTGAAGATATTGGCTTAATAAAAAACGACTTATCATAACTTTTGTTGTTTTACTAATATTGTGTCTATTATTACAAAGAGATAGAGAGGGATGATTAAACCCAGTCTTGCACAACATAAAGTATACTTTCACCGATCGTTGGCACTATGATTATTTGAAAAAAAACGGATAGCTCAAACTAAATCCACACAAATCCTCTTAAACAAGTCTAGTGCGGCAGTAAGCATGTGAAATCATATATTTAATTCCTTCTTTATCATGCCACTCCTAAAATGTAAAGCTACAATTATTTGACTTATTTTAATTTTACTTTAGATGTATTTCAAATTAAAAATAAACACAAAGTAGATAGAAAAAATATATTGTAACATTTAAAAAAAGGAAATATTTATATTATAATAATCATTGCAATGCTAACCCGATGTGGTCCCCTCTCAGAAAGCTATGTTGGGTGCTGGTTCCTTACTCCAATCTTACTAATAATATAAATGTGAATGTTTGGATGTATGGATAAATGAATAAAGATACTTCTAGAACCGCTAAACGGATCTCTATGAAATTTGGCATAGATATAAAATATCTGTAAGAACACAAAGGCAACTCATTAAGTATTTTTTTAATTCCTCTCGTACATGAAGAAATATAGTATACTATAAATAATATGGTACCCTCAGGTAAAAACACTCATTCGATCTACAACATTTGATAAGGTGGCCCCTTTTCTCAACGATGGCGTGACAAGAGCGCATCGCGCGGCCTTTCCTACCGCTACGTACTCTATTAACCTGATTAAAGCTTTTTCAGATGGATACGTCAAATTGCATTGACTTTAGTGGTCGTTGCAGTATACTAACGACGTTCATAATATTTAATTATTAGACATACGAAAAAACGTATACGTCCCAATTAATATACGTCTAAATGTGTTCGCTCCACCAATAATATATACAATTTATAAGCCAAGCTATCCGCTTTGTATTTCCAGAAAAAATATCTATCTATTGAGTAGATTTTAGTTTAACCCAGGACAATAAAAACATCGTAACACTGACGGGTGCCAGCAACATCATCTGTTGCATGAATTGGTCGACTCGCCCGCTGCAATACCACGACCAGGGTGAAAACAGACGTGAAGAGCAAGTAATTACGCGTTTCACCCGATGAGTTTGAGTTTGAGAGCCGGCGGCCTAATTTCAGACGACTTTCCCTTCTCACCCTTTTACTTATAAGAATTGTACGTGAAGGGGACGTGGATTTGATCGAGGAACGGGATCATAGTAAGAGGTAATATTCTCTGTCTGTGCGTCTCCTTCTCCGTCGATAAAAAATAGGCAATGTATCTGCTATTGTGTATGTCTACGGGCTTACGGGCTTGCTCGTTTGCATTATTTTATATATTTAAATATGATCGAATCAAAGCAGCACGAATACTATTAGTAAATATTGGAATAAAAGCAATTTTTATAATTTTACAGCAATATATTGTAAAATCTATAGACGTAAATAGACTTGACTGCCGAAACAAGACCTAAATAAAAGTAAAAAGTAAACTGGTTTGTGACCAGACTAATGAACTGCTTGGATATTGGCATTTTTTTTTTAAATTACATATGAGTGCTGAATAAGATAAGTAAATGCGATTAAATAGGATTAACGATAAAATGAAACATACCTTAAGTGACAATGTCGTGACGTTATAATATTATCTGTACAGGAAACCGAGCAGACCACCAATGTAAGATATGTATGCAAAACGTACGATTATAAAATAATTGGTCAACAATATTTTATTAGCAAATAGGTGGCCTACAAAAGTATTAAATAAAACTTTGAAGCAACAGCCAGATATCGCCTTAAGATATATCCAATAAGTTAGAAGATTGCATATGCATTATCTAAATACCTTTAACGGACAAGCGAGAGAATGTACAGAACAGGGATATATCCGCTTTCGCTAAATCAGATAAGTTGAACGTAGTTTAATTAGACCTTTGTAAAGCTGGCCCTAAATCTCATAAATTAATATTGTTAGAGCCCGCTTTAACATCGCACGTATTGGCCCGGCTCGCCCGGTGAAATACCACGATCACACAGAAGACAGGCGTCAAGTGGAAGCAATTCCGCGTTTCGTCTGATGAGTGTGCGTCCAGAAGGCCTAATTTACACCTCTTTCTCTTCCCACCCTTTTTCTTCTAAGGAAAGGATGGGAAGTGGAAGGATTAAAGGTAGGCAACGCATATGCGTATGTCTATGGGCAACGGTCACTTCGCTATTTCAGCGATTTCAGGTGGCCACACACTCGTTTGCCACCTTGTGAGATAAATAAAAAATTCAGTCCTCTGACAAAATTCCCTTCAATTTGGAAACTCTTATTTATAATGTAATTTTCTATTTATACTTAATCCTTGCATGAAATATTGCTATCAGCGCTTCAGTGATTTCACTTTATCGATATCCGTTTAAAATCACGCGTATTACACTCAGCGAAGACATAAAAGATTGTCAGTATAATGATTAGAAATGATAAAAAACTGAACCAAAAATCCGCCAGTTTATTAAAATTATTGAAACTTTCATAAGTCTCATTTTGATAAACTTATTGAAAACGGCTAAAATCACGTTTAGATCCATTGTCGGCACCGACTAATTCCAGATTCATGGTCGGATCCTTTTTCTAAAAGAGTAATTGGCGTTCGCATATCGCCTTATTGCTGCATCTTTCCAGCTAATCATTTACCCAGAAGAAGGGTCCCGATATGAAACTAGTCGGTGCCGACACCAGACTAAGTATGTTCTGTCATACAGCGGTCTTAGTTATGTTTTAATGTTTTATTTTCCTAATTTCAAACATCATCTATAACAGTCAAATTGTTGCTACCCTAGATTCCAGAACATTTTAATAATCTAATTTAAATTAAGATATGATAATTTTTTATCTACTTTTGTATTTTTATGATACCATCCTACATTGTGGTAAAAAAAATTATGTAATTTTCACACCTTTAAGGAATGATTAAAAAGTTTCTGTTTGATGTGATCTTCTTTATAAACGTATAGTAAGCGATCCAATGATTCTGCATATCATACACGACACTACCATTAGTATAAGTAATCGAAGTTAGTAAATATTTGGACTAGATATACAGTTTCCAATAAATTTATATGATCTTAAGATATAAGAAAGTTAAAACACAAGATTTCATTCAGAATAGGCCATGATTCTATCTAAAAGCATAATTACGTACGATTTGCAATTCTAAAGAAGAACGCGGAAATACGAGCCCGTAGAACTGTACAAGCAATCGGTCTCTCCCATGTCCTCAGCGCAAAATAGTATGCTTTGCCTTAGAGTAAAATTTGCTGAATGGAATAAAGTAAAAATTAAATATCATCTATTTTGGCATCTATGCCAAAAATGCACTGACTTTTTGTTTAATTCACATTTACGAATATCAGACATCAAGATGTCATGCAAAGGTTTTGCAAGAGGCTCGTCACAAAACGTCATTTGCTTGCATAAACGCTTTGCATACTTATCATATATATATTATCGTTATGACGATTTAAATTATTGTAGTTTAAAATATACTAAGCCTCGTAGTTTTCACAGCCTCGTGATTTGCAAAATTTGTTTTTATAAAATAGATAATTTGGAAGATAATATTAAGTAACGTCCGAGATAAGTAAGGATTTAGATGATAATAAATCCAATAAATTCACAAGATGTCCTAGAGTTGCAGCATTGTGTGTGACCGCCATGAAGCTCCTAGTTCTTCTTCTTCCTCTAGTGGCACGTGAGTATCAGTATTAAATAACTGCACTATGCCTAGTGCTTAAGATAGACCTAGGATAATAAGTGTGAGAAGGCATGTCCTTCGAAAAGACGGTGCTACCTTAGAACTAAAGAATTCCCGTGACTTCGCTAACGTATTAGGGACGTTAGGAGGTTTTTAATACGTGAAATGTGTAAGCCTCTCAGTCTCTCGCAAGGATGGATATGAGTTGGCATTTCCCTCGTAAGAAAAATCCTTGGATGATAACAATGATGACTTAGTCAGTTAATTATAATATATTCCAGACTATATTTTTTGTTAACTTCTCAATAAATTTCTCAGTTACATGATAACATACATTTTAAAATATTATAGAAAATAAACTGAAATTTGACACCGTAGTACGTATTACTATGTAACCTTTTGTGTGTCCAGTGTGTGCTGGTGCTCCAAAACCCGTAATCCCGGGTGACAACAGTCACTACGTGGAGGGTGTCAGCCGCTACATATGGATGCCCGATGGTGACGGTGTTCCTCACCTAGTTGACTTAGAGGAACCAGTCGACGAAGAATTACTGAAGTCTAGAAATGGCGCTAACAATAGATACTGGCTCTTTACCAGGTAATATACTAGAAACACATAATTATAGAATTTTCTTACATAAATTCCGACTTTCTTTCGTTTTGACTCTAAATTAAAATGTCTCTTAACAAAAATAAATGTAGCAATCAATACATCTTATAAAATGTTGTAATAATAATAATCATTCACTTTCAGACGCAATCCCACCAATTCGCAAATTATTACTAATGGTAATGCAAACTCTGTGCGTAACTCCAACTACAATGGTAACCGACCCTTAAAAGTAGTAGTCCACGGCTGGAATAGCAACGGAAATTCTCAAGTTAATCCTCTCGTCACTGCCGCTTTCCTCGCTGTCCAAGATTGTAACGTAATCGTCGTTGACTGGCGACAACTCGCTAATTCTAACTATGTGACTGCTTCAAACGGTGTCCGTGGCATTGGAGAGGCCCTTGGTAACTTCTTGACGTGGCTACTTAGAACTGGAGGTGGCGACTGGGACAATGTTCACTTAGTCGGCTTCAGTTTGGGCGCTCATGTTGTTGGCAATGTCAGACGTACCGCTGGAGGCAGACCCAGACGTGTCACTGGTAAGGATTTTGATTTCTGGGATCATTACCGTTTATTCTATGCCGGCCTTTTCATCTAACTTACTCCATTTTTATTATTTTTGCAATTAATATTTCCTTCAAAATTGAAAATCTCGAAAGTTGCGTAGAGTTGCGTTCAACATGTCATTATTAATTCTTTATCATCAAGAAGTTCTGTGTGAATTTTTAATTTTTCTATTCTTAATTTAAATTTTTGTCAAAGTAGTTTGACTTTGAACTTTTTTTAATAATCATTTGATTAAAGGCATAACCATTATTTTAGGTCTTGACCCTGCTGGTCCCAGATTTGGTGGCAATTCGAACGCCTTAAACCGTAACGCAGGTCGTTACGTGGAAACAATTCACACTGACGGTGGACTTCTGGGTATCTTTGATCCAATAGCTCATTGCGATTTCTACCCGAACGGAGGCAGGAACAGACAACCGGGCTGCTCAAACAGCTCCTGTTCCCACAGCCGTGCATACGAGCTCTTTGCTTCCACTGTACGCACAAACCACTTGGTCGGTAGGCGCTGCAATAACTTAAACGATGCTCAAAACAACCGATGCAATGGAGGTACTCTTAACATGGGCAACGGTATTATCAACAAATCAGGGTAAATATATTCTATATAATTTCTGCAGAGTATTTGCGATAGTTTCAAGACATCTTTAATAATTTATTCTTATTTTGTTCCAGAACTAATGGACTTTACGGCCTTACCACGCGTGCCTCTTTCCCCTTCTAAGACAACGAAATATGTCCAATAAATAATTAAAATAAGAAAATCTATGACTTTTATTATAATATTAAAATAAAAATTAGAACTTAATCGATTTTTTCCCTAAAGGATAGCATATTATTTTACGTAACGCTGTTTTCGGATTAGTTTTTTTTAAGAACCCCATCAAATTTATCGTTGGCTGAAAGGTTAAACAAATAAATTCGTTGTAGAATACTAAAACGAATTACGATTTTCGATATTTAGATATCAGTTTTTATCACAATTTACACACAAATATTAATCGGATCTCAACCATTTTTATTGTCTTGACCTTTTTTATACTTGAATATCTAGCGGCCAATATCGCAGCGAGTAGATTAACTCGAAAATAGTTTATCGTATCTCACACGGGGTGATTTAGGACCCGACCCAACCATCCTTTAGCTTTTTTCCGTGGTAATCGAAAAATAAATCAGATTCATTCGTTTAAATTTTAATTAAAATGTCTGGGAATTTAATTATTTCACTTTAAATGTTAAACCATTTGAGTTTTATTGAGCCTTCAAGCCGTATGACTCAAAATTAAATAGAAACAAAATTGTGCATATATGTTATTTGTGTATGAAGAAAAAATAATGAGAAAATGTATCAGGCGGCAGAGTTTACTTATATAAGAAATTACGTCTTTACAGGAGTTTATGTAGTCAGCAGTTGTCGGTAAAAAGTGCAAACTAAAAAACCAAACCGAATTTGATTTGGCATTACTTAATAATTAAAAAATCTATCTTAGCATATTTTAATAAAATTAAGAAGGTAAATTTAGTGCAAATCGCAAAGGAATAAGTTGGAGCAAGAAGCTTTTTCAGAATTTGCCTCTTGATTGCAAAATCTCATTCCGTCGCAGAGTTAAATTAACTTCTGGCTCGTTCCAGTAACGATGGAAACTAACTGTGATTAAATTTATTTGGCCCTAATGAAATATAAGAAAATTTACTTCAGATTTACTGACGACGAAAATATATGAGTTTTTATTGGTAACGAATGTTAGGGCAACCCAGTCATGGTAGTTGCGTTGCTTTCCTGATCTTTTTAGGGTTCCGTACCTCAAAAGAAAAAAAAATGGAACCTTTGTCGTCCGTCCATCTGTCTGTCAAGACCCTTTTTTCTATTAAACATACGACAAGAAACAACATGGTTCTCAATAAGATACTTGCTCGTTTATCACCTTATGATATAAAAAAAAATATCACAAGATTTATTCATTTACAAAGAGCTATCGAAGCAAACAATGAAAATATGAATATTTACAACCATACTTTTATTGGTTATATATTGAACTTATAAAATACTATTTAAGCTGTGATTTCAGAATAAAGTCTGAACCCAAAATAGCAATGCCAATCGGTTTCACTAATGACTTAGATATAAAAAAACAAGACAGGTACCTATTTGTGATGCACTTCAACGGAATTCATTTATTTTCGAATTACTTTTTTCATACATTTCAATATGTTTCTTAAAAAATACGTTCGATGATCGGTTTCAGTTGTCTTGCGATGATACGGCTCAGTTGTTCCTGAAATCATTCGAATTTGAAGTTATACACATAGAAATTATAATAAACATTCGTAAGTTTTCTTAACAGTAGCAAGCACAAACTCATAGTCTCAAGTTAAAAATATAAAAAGTATTTGAGCGCCATCTGTTGTTGAAAATACTTATTTCTGGAAGACACTTCCATTATTTGTCTATAATGATCACTCTTCAAATTTAAACTATGCTTGCAACAAAAATTCCTTTGAGATGTTACAAACATGACGATAATTTTACCTCATATTTTTCTAGAGTTGCTGGCATAGTGTTGCCGAGCCAATTGTTGACGACGTCAGAAAGGTCACGTTCGTTGATCCGTACGTTAAGGTCCGACTGAAATCATTTTATTATTGAATATTATATTCATTTTAATTAGAATTGTGCTGGTCTCAATCAGAATAATCTATGTTAAATTACTTACTCGAATATCTCCAATATGGAATGAAAATTCCAAATGCTCTGCCAGATTACCTAGATCCGCCACTAGTTTTAAACGAATATCGTTGACAGCCACGCTAAAAATTTTAGAATTTAAATTACCATTTCTTCTTTTAATAAGACAAAGATTTAATCTGAATTTTTATCAAATAATGTTAAGTGACCAATACCTACATCTTACTAATATCTAACATTATAAATGTAAATGTTTGAATGGATGGGGATGTTTGTTTGGACGTATCTCCAGAACGGCTCAACGGATCTCGATGACATTTAGCATAGACGTTGAACAATATCTGGAAGAGCACATGGACTACTAATTAAGTATTTTGTTAATGCCGCCCCGACGGAATAGTGGGCGTACAGCTACATCTACAGTACAGTACATAAATATATATAAATAATCTTTAAAAAGTAATCTATATAATACAAATAATATTTAAAAAGTCACGGATCATTCAGGATGAGAGCTACAAGCGATAGCAAATTCAAATTAAGCAATGATAAAATTTACAATGTGTTTAGTATCCTCTCCGATGAACTGTTATAAGAACTTCCTATAAAGTCTTAATTAGATTTCACTCTTTATGATTTAAAATAAAATAAACTACTTTGATAAATAACTGTAATATTTACTTACCTTCCGTTTAACTGACCATTGATATTACGATTAAAGACGTTCACATCTGCAACTGCATTACCTACAATATGATAAAGGAACTGTTAATATAATATTATTACAGTATTATTTAAAACTAGCTGTCGCATAGAGACTCCGTTCGCGCAGAATTATGAAAAAACTTAATTATTAGCCTATGTATTCTTCCAGATTATGTTCAACATCTATGCCAAATATCAACAAGTTCCATGCAATCTTTCAGTAGATACCTTTAAACAAATATCCATTCATCCATCCAATCATTTGCATTTATAATGTTACTAAGATTAAGCAAGGATGGAAGGAACATAGAGAAAGATATGGTAAGTTTTTTTTTATATCATTAGGTGGCAAACGAGCGAGTGGCCACCTGAAATCGCTGTAATAGCAAAGTGACCGTTGACCATAGACATACGCAATTGCATATGCGTTGCCTACCTTTAATCGACAGAGGAGAGAATGCACCGAAAGAAAACATTTCCATGCATCCTCTCATCCGGAAAGTCCACTTCCACTTCCCATCCTTTCCTTATAAGAAAAAGGGTATGAAGGGAAAGAGGACTAAATTAAGCCACCGGCACGCTCACTCATCAGACAAAACGAGGAGGCTTTCACTTCACGCCTGTTTTCTGTGTGGTCGTGGTATTTTACCGGGCGAGCCGGCACAATTCGTGCGAAGATGTTAAAGCGTGCTCTACCACTGTTAAAAGCAAATAGTATCTTACCAATAGATGCCATAAATCCAGTAAGACGTACTTCAACACTTAAGGTGGTAACAATGAATGTAACATCAACTATTTCAATGTCACTGAATCCTGATAGCACAAAATCCTCCACAGAACCAACAGCTGAGAAGACACTGTAAAACGTAAAAAAGCTTATAGTATAGAATATTGACACAAATGATTAAAAAAAACCTTAACAAGTAGCCTATATGTTCTTCCAGACTATGTTCTATTAAGCCAAGTTGTTGAGCTGTTCTGAATATACATTTAAACAAACTTCAGTCCATCCATCCATTTAAACATTCGCATTTATAATATTAGGAAGATATTCAATCACGCAACGGGTAACTTATGCCCATTATAACAACAGTAACAACATCAGAAAACTTGCCTTGAGGACTTTATTTTCATTCACATCAGAATAAAAATAATGAAACATAGTAGTATCTGTTACTTACCCAGGTACTGGAAAAGTATATCCATCGGAAGCGGATTCTACTGAATAAGGATCAAAAGATTTCGCCTGATGAATCACACCTTCAAGCATGAGGCGAACGGTTTCATCAAGGCTCCTGCTCGTTTTTAACTCTGAAAAATTATTAAAATAACAAATAAAGTTTATGTTACGCGGGTGACCACACTAGTGGTCACCCGCGGCTTCATCAGCATTAAATAAAAAGTAGCCTGTAATATGACCGCGTACACCAAGTACCTTAATTGCGAAGATTACTCGGAACAAAACAACCTTTTGGACACATGAAAAAACAAACAATTAACTCTTAATGCTACCATAATGGATAAAAAAACAAGACAATTAATTAATTTACAAAGCAAGGGCGGCCTGGCCTTATCCCTACAAGCGATCTCTTCCAGGCAACCCAGTGGGACTGGAGAGAATAACATAGATAGAGGGGTATTTAACATATAAATATCAGAAAAAGTCAGGAATAAATATTATATATCTATGGGTACGTTATAAATTTTAACTCAGTCTTACCGTTTCTTTTTAATTCAGACGGCAGAGCAGTCGCACCAGCCAGTAACACAAAAAGAGTAAATACAATGATATCCATAATAATGAAGCTCTAAAAAATAAAATAAGAAGTTTTAAAAATATTAAATCAGTTCCAAAACTTTGTATCCTTTAAACAAACAAAGTTACATTAAACATTGTAAATTTTTAAAAACCTTAGAAAAGATTAAAATCTTATTTTATTTATCAAACATTTACAATAAAACTAATAAGAAACAAAACAAATTATGACAAACAGCTAAATGATTTAAAACTGAACTAACTTGAGTTCTTCGACAATATTGCATTAACGTTTGGGACATATGTGCCTTATACATTAGCCATTTACCAGACAGGAAAATAACAGATAATATCAAAAATAATCAATCAGTTAAGGTTTTGATTACCTCTTATCTTTAAATACACTGTGCTGCAAATAAAACGGGACGTTTACAATCGCAATGAAATCGAATATATTGGACATAGCCTTTATGGAATGACAGCTTTAATAGACACACTGTAGCCCACGAATTCCTCATGGGATTAAAAAGAAAAACTTACTTATACACCCGAAATTTATTTCATATCGATTCAAACGCGCATCGATCGCAATCAATCTCTTAAAATTTTCACATTTACAATGTTATTAAAAATATAAATAGAGGTTAAATAAAGTCCAAAATTATTTAATTTATGTTAAAGTAGCAGTAGCAGTTGACCGCGAATCTATGTGTTCTGCCAGACTATGTTCTATTAAGCCAAATTTCATCGAGATCTGTTGAGCTGTTCTGGAGATTCAAACAAACATCCATCCATTATGCATCTAAATGCATTTATCATAGTAATATTTATTATATATAAAAATTTTAATTTAATAAATTGTGTCAATTGTATTGTTTACTTATGTACTGGTTTAAATTCATTTAATTAGTCATTCGGTAGGAAGTGAGATAATTCGCTTATCATACTTGGGTTTCCTTTGCTGTTGTCTATGACTAATTACCGATTGATTGAAGACGATTTTGATGAGTCGATTTAATAAAAAGAAACAATTAAACGTAAAACGATGTATATTAAGCATCAAGTTTGTTGAGTTTATTTATTTATTTATTTATTTATTTATTTAAGCACAACCACAACATATATATAACACACATACAACTTATCAAATGAATAGTATTAGATCTTATACATATGTAAATATTGGTGTACATAACATTTACACAGGTATTTATTTAGGTAATAGTTTAAGGTTTCGGAAATTATTATAAAATAGTAGATTTTTTTTTATCTTTGTAATTATTCTATAGATTATGCATACTGAAATAAGTTTTAATAATTTTTTTGAAAGAGTTAAAGTTCGTGCCAAAGAGATCTATATTATTTGTAGTTTGTTTTTCAAGTAATCTGTTATATCCAGAACATATCCTGTTTAGTGGCGAGTGCTGGCCGAGATTTGTCCTACACCTGGGGACGTGAAAGAGCTTGTTAGTGCCGCGTGCGTTTTGTCTAGGCACCGAAAAGAACACATTCTCAAGCAGCTGTTGGCAATGAAGTGAACCATTTAGAAGCTTATATAGAAAGCATGTATCTAATACCTCTCTTCTTGATTTAAGTGACATCATATTAAAGTGTTTTAACCTTTGAGTGTATGGACTACGATGTGAAAATCCTCTTGCATGGAATGCTAAATGGCGTGTGAAGCTTCGTTGGATACCCTCAACTCGTTGCGACTGCACCGCGTACAACGGATTCCAAACAACACTCGCATATTCGAGTTGGCTACGCACGAAAGCATTATATAGCATCTGTTTTGTTTGTATAAGTTTGAAGTCTTGGGTGTTCCGTCTTAGAAAGCCTAAAGTCTTAGCAGCCTTGGCAACTATATTATTCACGTGCGTCGTAAACTTTAATTTAGAGTCTATTGTAACACCAAGGTCTTGTACTACTTCTAACTCGGATATAATCGCGCCGCCCAACTCATACTTTGTGACAAGCGGCTTCTTCTTCTTGCTAAATTTAATATGGTAACACTTTTTTACGTTGAGAGTCATAGAATTTTTAAAACACCACTCTTCTATTGCATTTAAATCCTCTTGTATGAGATTTGCATCAGCAGGGGATTTGACAATCTTGTATAACTTTAAATCGTCTGCGAACATAGATTTCTTGCAGTTTTTAATGCAGTAGGTAATGTCATTTATGAAAACCAAGAAGAGCAGGGGGCCAAGGTGAGAACCCTGAGGAACGCCGCTGTCAGCATAGAACACGTCTGATTCATACCCATTCACATATACATATTGTTGTCTTTTGTTTAAATACGACTTTATCCAGTCTAGTAAGGCCCCACCCAAACCGAATGCTTCAAGCTTGTCAACCAGCAGGGAATGGTTAACTTTGTCAAAAGCACTGCTGAAGTCCGTATAAATTGCATCGACTTCCATGCCTTTATCAACATCATGCGATATCTCTGATACAAAATGAACAAGATTTGTGTGAGTGGAACGACCTAATCTGAAACCATGCTGGTCAGTGGAAAGATTCACGTCAATTAACCTGCACAGTATTGGGTATACTAATGATTCAAATAGTTTTGAAAACGTTGACAGTATAGAAATGGGCCGGTAGTTTGTAACGTTTGTATCATCACCTTTTTTGAACACCGGTATTATACAAGCCTTTTTCCATATCACTGGGAATCTTCCGTCTTGAATAGATCGGTTATATATGATTTTAAGAGGAAAAGCCAGTATTCGACCGCATCTTTTAACAAATAAAGGGGGAATCATATCGGGACCCGCGCCTTTAGAAATATCTAGTCCTTTGATTTTTCTTAAGATTTCAGCTTCGCTAATTATGACATTTGAGACAAATTGATTTGACATGGGGATATTCGAACTTATGTCACACTGAGATTCAACACACTCTTTTGAATACACTGATGAAAAGTGTGTCGCAAATAAGTTGACTATGTCTTTACCATTTTCCGCAGTGATAGTATCTTTATACATTTTCTCAGGCATGTGGGAACGTCTGCCTTGTTTGTTCTTTATGTATCCCCATAGTAGTTTTGGGTTCTTAGAGATGTTCTTTTCTATTATTCGCATGTAGTATTTTTTACAATCATCATAGAGTTTGTGCGCACGTTTTCGGAGGAGGTGGTACTCGAATTCATCACGCGGATTTTTTAATCTTTTATATCGTTTGCGTAATTTTTCTTTTTCTTTTATACAATTAATTAACGAACTATTGAACCAAGAAGGATATTTAGATTTGGTGATGCTTCGTTTAGGAACATATTTGTCGATAGAAGTCTGAAGTATATCATAGAAAACAGCCACCATATCATCTACATTTGAACAGCGGGAGAACTTGTAATTCCAGTCAATTGTACTTAATTCGCTGTTTAAACAAACGTAATCGGCTTTATAATAGTTATATTTTGTATGTGGTTTTTCGCGTAATAATCTAGTATGTGCATCTGGGATAGTAAGTAGAAGACTGGGATGGTATCGGTAACACTTAGATAACGATTGTAGTGGTTTAGAAACATGTGCCTTCGGGATATTGCTCAAAATAAGATCAAGAAATCTATTATCATCGTTGGGAATGCAGTTGTGCTGATACATGTTATTTAAAGCTAGAAAGTCAGTGAGAGCGAGACCAAGAGATGAATTATGATCCGATGCTTTCATGTAAGTATTACCTTCGACTGCGCTCCAGTTTATGAAATTTAAATTAAAATCTCCTAGTATTATTACTTCATCGGTTTGATTTATCACTATGTCAATACTATCCAAGAATTTAGTAAGTGTATCATATCTTATTGGCGGCGGCAAGTAGACCACGCAGATTGCTATTTTGTGGAGTCTTCCATTTTTGTTAGTATGTATCACAACCCAAACATTTTCTATATCGATCTCCCAACTTTCAACCCGTGCAGATGGTATATCACGTGTGACAGCCAGTAATACTCCTCCACCATCCTGCTTATCCAAGCTCCCACAGACTCTGTCTCTCCGGTAAACTACGTATCTATCATCCATTACTTCCTTATCAGCGATACTTTGTTTCAACCATGTCTCCGTAAGGGCAATCACATTGTAGTTAGTTGTATAGACATTTTTTAATATTTCATTAGTCTTAGTTCTTAAGCCTTGTACGTTCTGATAGTATATTTCTAACACTGTGATATTTATAGGTGCCACAACATTCGATAGGATTTAAACTTAATTTAGGAGGCTTAGGGTGTCAATACTCTTTATAAAAAGCTGCTGGCAGTTTTCATCTTTGCGAACATAGATGCGTCCATTTCTAACCCATACAAATTTGTAAGATAGTTCTTTTGCCTTTTTTCTAGTCGCTGCATGAAGAGATTTATTTTCAGGAGTAAGATGTTCGGTGACATAAACGGGAGAATGGGCGCCACCTATTCCTAGATGCTGAGTTCCTAATTTTTTATCCGCATTGGCTTTATTGTATTTCATTACAGCGGCTAAGAAAGCGTCTCGTTGTCGGGGATTACGTAATTTGGCTATTACAGCTCGAGGTCTGTTGTTATCCCGAGAGATTTTAGCAACCCTGGTAATAAGTTGAATGTCCTCGGTGGCTAACGGGTAATTCACAATCTTTGCCAGTTGGTTAAGTGTATTTGCCAGGTTCTCTGATCTGTTTTCCGGTATGCCATTAATCTCGATATTGCTGTCTCTCATGTGCAATTCCATTATATTGAGCCGATTACCAAGGTCTTTAACATCCTTTTTTAGTTTGTCGTTCTCCGTCCTAAGAGTTGATATCATTGTTGATTTTTCTTGAAGAATGTTTTTGATCTCTTCGTACTGAGTGTTAATGAAACTTATTGCCTCTTGAAAACTATCTATTTTATCATTTATTATTTTTAATTCTGCGCATATTAATTCTTTTATATTATTTTTAAATAGATTGGCTAGTTCCTGTTGCATTATTGTTCGAAGTTTGTCTTCCGTAACGTAATTACATTCCTCATGTGCTGTAGGTGACTCTCTGATTGGCTTATTGCGTAAAGTTTTAGTTGAGTGGTCAGTTGGTATGTCTTCAGATTGAGACCGCGAGGAAGTATTGCCTGACTTCGGAACCTGACCGCAGCATTCAGGACACTTCCAAGATAATTTCAATCGAGTTTCCATTGAAGTGAAACGTTTTAGGGTCACGTTAGCGCACATAAGATCGAATTTAGATTTACATTTGCAGCAGACCATGAACTCTTTCGTTGGTAATGATAATTTACAAACATTGCATATAGTCGGAGAAGCCATTTTGGCGTTACAAACAATCAATTATTTCAATTAATTATATATATATATATGCACCTGGAATATACGGTGTTTGGGTCTAAAAGTAGGTATACAATCTTAAAAAAAAAAGTGATTAGGAAGTCCAACGACAAATAATTTGTACAAAAAAAAACACACACACATAAGTAGTTTTACACGAGAAAAAATAAAAAAAAATCAAAACAAAGAGAATTTTCGTAACACAAAAAAACGACGAATCTTTCTTTTAACTAAGTTATACAAAAAAAAAAAAAGTAAGAGACTTGACAGAACAAAATGTACTTATTACTTATATATATATAATTCCAGATATCTTTAAATGTAGTAAAAAAAAAACCGAACAACAATTACTGATCATTAAAATAATATAATTTTGTATATTACAAAATGTAAAAAAAAGAACAAAAAGTCGGAACTTCTTTCCCGGGCTCGAACCACTGGACTCGCTGCGTACTGTAGTAAGAATGTACTCCGTGAGCGTAGGCAAGGCCGTTGCGCCACGATTGCATTAAACGAAATGTCGAAATGTCAAATCATATGGTAGGACTTCCTCAAATTTGCAAATCGACGTGGGTAAGTGACAAAATAACATAACAATGTCCACCACTAATTGTTTTTGACCAATTCACTTTCAAGCACCAAGTATTTAACACAAAATACGACCAGCACTGTATTTAAGCCACATCTGCAAGCGACAATTTCGACAGAATAAAGTTTAGTTCAGTTTTCTTGCATATTTTGATTAAACCAGAACCAGAACTTGCCGCACTCAACTCTCGCGTTCAATAATATAATTAATTAATTAACTTGATATTTACAGCGTCTTCCACAACAACACAGGTGACACTTTACATATTAAGCCTCACTGTACACTTAATTTGGGAGTTGTACTAGTTTAACTATTTTATAGGATTAATTAAGCGCAGCGCGACGTGACGCGTGCCGTGATATGTAAATTTTACTACCTATTGTTACTTACACAATGAATTTTAAAATTGCTGCAAATCATGATATATACCGAACCAAAATTTTGATTTGTAACATAATCCTAGAAGGTCCAACTTCAGTCCTCTTTCCCTTCAAATCGTTTTCTTATAAGGAAGTGGATTTGACACTGAAATATTTTCTTTCCGTGTGTCCCATCATCCCTCGATTAAAGGTAGACAACGCATCTGCAATTGCAGATGTATATGAGAGGCAGGTTAGTAATTTCGGCGAATCCAGGTGGCCACCAGCTCGTTTGGCGCTTGGTTGTAGGAAGATAAAAGACGAGTGTCCCTATATTGACTTGTAATAAAACATCGCACATCTTTTTTTTCAGAGGGGAATGCTTTATGCATACTCCGCGCCCCGGGGGGGACGCGGTAGTTATGTGGGATTCTCCTCCATAGCGGTGACATACCCACTAAACCCCTCTGTTCCTCCAACGCATCGGGACGGGACCACGGGCACGCTTTCGCTCTCGTCCGCGGCCCATCTCACATCTAACAAAATTGTATTGAGCTCCCTCTATTGTTATAAACTGAAATAAAACAAACACAACTAAAAAATAGATAAATATAAGAAGGATTTATCGTTATCATCGATGTCTTTATAGCATATTTATATTATATTATAATGTATAATAATAAACATACATATATTATTTAAGTATTAGATGTAATAATATCTTAAATCGCCATTTATATTATTTTACGACATCTATCGGTAAATAATTTAAATACTTAACAATCATGTTGATACGTAGTTTTGCTATTAACCAGTAGATGGCGTTAGTTTGATATGTAAACATAATCTCAAGTGCTGTCAATGTCCGCTCTCTATATTTTTTATGTATCATAAAGTGGCAAACGAGCGAACGGCCACCTGAAATCGCTGAAATAGTGAAGTGACCTTTGCCCATAAACATACGCAATTGCATATGCGTTGCCCACCTTCAATCGACGGAGGAGAGGATGCACAGAAATATTTTTTTTTCTTCCCACACATCCTCTCATCCGGAAAGTCCACTTCCCGTCCTTCCCTTATAAGAAAAAGGATGGAAAGGGAAAGAGAACTAAATTAGGCCTCCGGGACGCACGCTCATTAGACGAAACGCGGAATTGCTTCCACTTCACGCCTGTCTTCTGTGTGGTCGTGGTATTTCACCGGTCGAGCCGGCCCAATTCGTCCGTCGTCGAAAATGTTAAAGCGTGCTCTACCACTGTTATATTTACCACTACCGCTCTATATTTCTTTCAGTTGGTGAATAACAAATAAATATCTCATTTTATTTATAATATACTAAATTTTTGTTACCAAGTGTCAGATTGATTAGTGAGGGAACATAAGCGTTGACATTTTAATAAGGCTAGTGCTGCGCCGATACACCGGCACAGTGTCGGATTTTCTTCCTAACACTATATATCATAAAGAATATTGTTTCACTTTTAGGACTTTTGACAAAACCTACCGTTAGTTCCCGAGACAAAAAATATAGAATATAAAACGTATCGTCATCCCTGTCATTATCTTTGACAAAACAGAGATAAACTATGTTTTAATCGGAGATTTTGGTCTCAGAAACTTACGGTTAGTCAGGTGATTAAGTGAAAATAAATTGAATACCATTATCTAGTAAGCGTCGGTGGCTCAGGGGTCAAGCACTTGACTTGCAATCTGCAGGTCCTGGGTTTGAATCCCGCCATTTACCAATGTGTTTTTCAAGTTCCGATTTGCATATGTAAATTTATCCGACATTCTTACGGTGAAGGAAAACATCGTGATGCAACCTGTACATATCTGAGAAGAAATTCAAAGATATGTGTGAAGTCAACCAACCCGCACTTGGCCAGCGTGGTTGACTATGGCCTAGTCACCCTTGGTTTAGGGTAGACTCCGAGCCCCTCGGTGGTGACGTATAGTGAGCTGATGATGATGACCATTATCTAGTATTACCAAGAAATTAAATAAATTATTCCACTCATTAGAAGTCAATGATAAGAAAGTCGTTTAAAATAAATCATTCACATCTGTGTTCATAGCAAAACTATTAATGTTATTTTTAATTTAATAGATATTGTACTAAAGACTCAATTGATAAAATATTGGTTAATGCTGTCCGCCATTTCGGTTTAGCTTAAATATCGGTGTTGGAAAAATTTTAACAGTGGCAATTTGGAACTCTAAGTCGGTAGCATCAACTCATATTTACAATACAAAAACTTAAATTCAAAAAGGTTCGACAGCATGAAGATCATCTTATTTGCTTTCGTAGCACTGTTGGCTACTGCCAACGCTCGGCCGCAAGAAGTCGAGCTTACAGGTCAGAAAACCTTGCATATCTTTACATCTGAACATATTTCAACTTAAAATTTTTCTATAAACTATTTTTTTATTATAGACTTAGTCTTGGAAGTGATTGTCAACGAGATCGTCGAATCTATCTCTCAGCAGATAAAGCAAGCCGGACTTGACCCATTCATCATTGAAGAAGCCGAAGTAGAATACAATCATGACGGGTATGTGAGCTACAAATGATTGAAGTTTAACGTAATTCTATACTTCTAAATTACTCCCAGTTACGCCTGTTTTATATTTGTTTTCGCAGTATCTTCTACATCACCAGTCGCGTCGACAACTTTGTCTTATCTGGCCTTAGTAACATTGTCGTCAACTCCGTCAGCTTCTCAGACGATGATATCGATAAATTGGAATTGTCTCTGCCAAGAACGGTTCTCAGTGTGGGTATGGTATCGTTCTCATTGTCTACATTTTCTCTACTTTAATGTTTTGTTATTATTTAATCCAGTAAATAATTTGTGTTCGTGTTTATTTCAGATAAATTCTTTAGTGAAGTTACTATTGGCAGCAGAAACATTAAAATTGAATTTAGTGGAAGGTATGTATTACTGATGGAAATTTTTAACAATAACAAATCCATCAGATAAGAATGCAAAATAGGCCTTATATTTCACGGTTGGTGAAATATATGTAATTCATGGTTTAGTATATCTGAAATTTGTATCCAGAATGAGTAAGTTTCTATTCTCTTTTTACAGCATAGCTTTGGTCGACTTTCGCTGCCAGACCGTTCTTGATGATCCGGAGGCCTCATGCCAAATCGGAGGAGTTGAAGTGAGTATCTTTTACTTTTATTATTCATTTAATTTTGCTTTTCATTTCTTTCAAATGTAATTGCTAACATGCTGCTTTAAAAATTTTTAAGTTTATTCTAAAGTCCAATCTTTATTTATAATTTTAACTTTGATACAAGTTATTTTTAATTTTTTCCAGGCCGACTTTAAGTCCTTCGTTATCCAAGGCCATGACGTCACTGACAGTGTTAACAGCTTCTTCGAAAAAACCCTGCCGAAATTACTCATCTAACAGGAGGTAATAATTTACAAGTTGTCAAATTGTTGACCTTAAATAGATGTTGGTTTGAAGACATTTTTAAATTGTTCCTTTATTTGCTTTCAGGAAGAAATCAATCGTTTCTTCGAGAGAGTGATCATCCGGCATGTCGACGACCTAGGCTAAAACATTTTTTATTGATACCTTGTTGTCCTAATAAAAGTTTCATCTTAAATATTCTTGAATAAACATGTCAAACAATATACGTTTTGTTTTTAATAAAAAAAAAACCTTAATCGAAAATTTATGTTATTAATCTCCGCATACTTCGTTACTGAAGGTCGTGCTCGTCTTGATATGCCTTTACAGATACGTCGACTAAAATAAAAATTCTTCAAGAAAAGAGTTAATATCTAAAAGATTAAAATATAAGTTGACAGTCGTAGATGCCAGCAACAATATTTGTTGCACGAATGGGTATGTCCGGTATAATACCACTACCACACAGAAGGCAGGTGACAAGTGGAAGCAGTTCCACATTTCGTCTGATTAAACATTAAACGTTCTGTTTTGCAAAGTAAGCATCAAATTTAAAATATCCATAGTGCAAAATTACTATGGAAATAGAACGTTAAAAAAAACGAGTTCCTTACTTACTCAATAGTTTATCCGAACACATAAGACATGAGCCTACACTTGATAAATTTAAAAGTTTACTAAAATAAAAAAAAAACACTATTAAATAAGTTGTACATATAAATTAACAATATAGACTATGTGTATACATTTGTACATATATTGATGTAGAAGAACAAGCGAGATTTCTGAGAATCGTATCACATGAAAATCCCTAGTCTTTGTCTTCACCTTAAGGTTATAAACGTAAGAACATAATTTTTTACAAAAAAAGGAAAACATTTTAGATTACTTTTGTTTTAAAAATAATGCAATACAATAAACTGTCGGCCATGTATCATCATCAGCTCACTATATGTCCCCACCAAGTGGCTCGGAGCCTACCCAAAGTTAAAGGTGATTAGGCCATAGTCAACCACGCTAGCCAAGTGCTGGTTGGTTGACTTCACACATATCTTTGAATTTCTTCTCAGATATGTGCAGGTTGCATCACGATGTTTTCTTTCACCGTATGAACGTCGGGCAAATGTACATATGTAAATCGGAAATCGAAAAACACATTGGTATACGGCGGGATTCGAACCAAGGACCTGCAGATTGCAAGTCAAGTGCTTGATCCCTTAACAACCGACACCGTCGGCCATGTATGTGATTATAAATTTCTAATGCAATGGAAAAATGTACGAATCTTTAGACTTATTGTTATCAGAAACATCTGGCTGTTGCTATACAAAGATAAGAAGGAATATTGAACCAAATCAGGAACACCTGGCATGATAAATCTAATTTTTAATTACTAATTTGAAGTAATATGATAGGCATTAGTAAAGATCTCATTGATAAGCATTCTTTTATTGCTATCTTAGATTTCGGTTTAGTTTAAATACACCTGTTGCGAGAATATTTTCATTCTGTACCAGAAACAAGGTAAGCGAATAACTATAATTCCTAAATTATAAGTTTATTATAAATAATTATATATATTCTTTATTGGTTTAATTGTTTTGCTACAGCAATTCATTCTTACAATTTCAGAAAACACACCAAAAAACCACCATGAAAATCATTGGATTCGCTCTCTTTGCACTGTTGGCTACAGCCAACTCCTTGCCTCAGCAAGTTCAAACCTCGAGTAAGTACATCTTTGATTAAACGTACTAAATCATCATCATCATCAGGTCACTATACGTCCCTACCAGAGCCTGCTAAATAACGTATTATTGTTAAACACAAAAACATGAAAAAATTAAATAATTCTTTTTAGGATTAATTATTGATATTTTATTTTTTTTAGACTTGAGAGACTCGAGGGCTCTTGACCAGATTGTCATTGGACTTATTGATTCCGTCATTGTGATGATCCAGGAGCGCGGTCTTGACCCCTACGTCGTTGAGCTTGCTAAAGGAGAATACACTCTTGGCGGGTAATTACTTTCATATCAAATCTTGTCTATTTATTTAAAAATCATTCTATGTATACCTAAACCAATGATCGCATTGTGATGAAACTTCTGAAAACGTCCAGGAAATTTGTAACCAGTCAATTTTAAAACGGCAATAACATTTTTCCTACTTAATGAAACTTTTCCGTACCACTATAATGTTATTTTAACAACTGTATTATTTGTTCTTAATGCATTGTTAAGGTTTAAAGCACTAAAAAAATTTGATTCTTGTATTCCAATAGGCACGGTTTGAAAAATAACACCTATTCTATGTTTGCTGTCGCAGATTCCTCTTCGCCAGCGGTCGCGTCGAGAACTTCGTGTTCTCTGGCCTCAGCAACATTGTCGTCAACTCTGTCGGCTTCTCGGGCTCTGATTTGGACATCGACATCTCTCTGCCTAGACTCGCTGCTGGTGTTGGTAATGTATCGTTTGCACTTTCTACAATTATTTGAATTATGATGTTTTGTTATTGTTTTAACCAGTACATAATTGTTGTTCGTGTTTGTTTTAGATAATGTCATTGGTGACGTGACTATTGGAAGCAGGAACATTCAGGGTGAATTTAGCGGAAGGTACGTATTATTCATTAAAAAGATTCATAAACAATATCTTTCATAGTTATTTTGGTGAAATCGTATCCCGGAATTTACAAGAAGATGAAATTAATTCATTCCCCTTTCCTTTTTTTAGAATCGCTATTGTCGACCTTCGCTTGGCCGCACGTATCAGCCTGGGACTCTCTGCATACCTTCTTGATGATTTGAGCCTTTCATGCCAACTTGGAGGAATTGAAGTGAGTTCCATCTTATTTCTTCCCTCATCTTTTTTTAAATTTTTAATACAACAAACTTATATTTTACAAAAAATATATTCCTTATTGCTAGTACATATTATGTGTTTTTATTAGGCCGACTTCAGCTCCTTCATTCTCCAAGGAAATGACGTGACTGACAGTGTGAACAACTTCGTCGGAAACACCTTGCCCAATCTGCTCATCCAATACGAGGTAATGCATTTCAATATATTATTTTCAATGCTTCATTATGTCGTTCTTAAATCTAATTGATTCTCATGAATCATGTTTTTTTGCTTACAGAACGAAATCAACCGTTTCTTCGAGGGAGTCATCATCCGTATTGTCGAGCGCCTGTTCTAAAATATCATCATTATTTTTTTTAATATTAAATAATGTATCGATTTTAATACCGGATTCTTCACCAATCGTTATTTATTCTAATAAACACATCAAACAATATACTTGATTTTTTTTTATCCTTGAAAAAACGATATGGAGTACCAATGATATTTTTATTATTGCCTATTCAATTATAATTTTAAATAGAGTTCTAACATACTATGATATAGTTTTAATCTAAAGTAGTTGCTATTAACTTATTATTAAATATGTATGGGTATAAAGTCAAGTTTGTTTGATTTTTGGGACCAAGCTTTCGACATAGTCAAGATTAGCAAAACTAATTTAAAAAGGGACACAATATCATATCATATTCAAACGGTGTTCAGTATAACTTGACACTTCACTAAAACTGTTTATTAAGAATTTATCATTTCAACAAATAGACAAATATACGACGAAACATGAACAAAACTGGACAACGCAAACACACGGAAAAACACTTTACATTATCTGAACAATTTTCTTTGCTGATAAATTCACACCATTTGTCACCACATCATGCAAAAATAAACAACCATTTATTTAAAACAACATAAACAGCAAATATACAAAACAGTACTCGTAATCAATTTATTTTTAACAAAAACATGACAAAAATTTCGGCACAGCCCAATTTAAATATACGTATGTTTTATAACATCTTGTGTTTGTAATTTTTATTTCATTACGTTTATTAATATTTTATCGTTCTCCATAGTTGATTGGTTACTACTATTATAAACGCGAATGTTTGTATGTATGGTTGGATGGCTGGATGTTTATTCGAGGGTATCTCCAGAACGGCTGCATGGATCTCGCTTAAATTTGGCATATATGTATAATGTAGTCTGGAAGAACACACAGGAACACATTAACAACTCATATGCAGTTGTGTATGTCTATGGGCACCGGTCACTTCGCTGTTTCAGCAATTTCAGGTGGCCACTCGCTCGTTTGCCACATTATGATAAAAAAGGCACACAGACGTGGAATCGTTTTCCATAATGGATTGATTACTAAACAAGTGGTCAACCGCAACTTCGACAGCGTATGAAAAAAGTGTCCTACAATATGCTTGCATGCAGCAGCTACCTTTCCATGAAAGTCCTGTCAATCGGTGGAACCTTTCCCGAGATTCCTTGGCTCAAACGGGGGATCTCCGGTGTTTGAAACCTCATTCAGAATCGTCAGGGCTCCTTCATTAGGATCAGCGAATTCACTACTGGAGTATATTTGAATGTTCAGTGACTTTGTGGCTTAATTCTTGTTTATCCGTGATTTTAAATGTTATACGTTAACTGATATCAAATGAAAGAAATAATAAAATATAACAGTTTAATGCATAAACATTTTCAATAACCTAAAATCTTTTATAAACAGTCTTTGTGTAAATACATTGTAAGTTTTCCCGTTTACCATACACAATTCTTTTACAATTTGGAAGAAAATGCTATAAATCTAATATTTTATGACATTTACACGCCTAGAATCGTTGACAAATCCAATTCAGCTAATATTTGATTACCAATCTCCATAACGTTGACACTGAGAAACTCCGTTATTTCATCCTGTAAAGAAAGAAAAATAGGACTAAATATTTTTTTTAATTATTACAGAATCTTTAAAACTGATTCTCACAAGGGGCAATTATCACTTTTGAAGATTCTTTTCATTACTTTTACTACAAATATTTTTATCCGTAATCCCGTCCTTATCTGACTGCCTAAAGTCACACCCCAGTGACATGTCGTCATATTCCAACCTTCAGTTTTTTCACCTTCCACGTCACGTTAAATACCACTGTCACATTGAACGAGTGAACCAAAACCAGATTGGCAGAAGCACATATTTAAGGGGATAAATGAATCTTCCAACTTGTTCCATCTACTCCAAGAATTGGATATAAATTTTGTGGACAAACATCAGATTTGTTCCAGTATTAGTACCGTGGAATCTCTGTTATATTTTATAAGAAATTTACTAATTGAAAGTACCTCCATAACAACAAGTATTTCTTCAACAAAATTTTTCAAAAACACGCTGATGAAGTCGCTAAGTACGGGATCGTTGAATAAACCAGTTATTTTTGGCTGAAAAAAAGAAAATTTATTATTTAAATACACAACACAAAACTACAAATGATTTCAATCGTCCTAATTTCGTTATTCCAAAGGTTTAAAAAGTCTAGGTTTCAATAAAGTTATATCCAAACTTGTTTCGTTTTGGTCCTAGAAGGTTGCAAAATATTACAGTTCAAGTAAGTTGGATTAAGCGTGACATCAACCGATCACAACCAATCTGTTTTCTATGGTCTCTTCTTTACGACATTTCCAAAGCAACTTATAGACGTTACCTTTAAAACCAGTACTTAACGAAAATCATGAATAATATCGTAGTCAAGCGCTAATTTATTCATTAAAAAAGGCAAATGCATCAAAAATAACAAATTAAAGAATAATACTCATATATAAAAACGGCTAAACACTCACGTAAATTCGTCCGGTGGCGGCACCGACTAGTTTCCGGCCCATCGGGGACTTCGTGGGACTGGTACCATACCATACTAGTCAATGCCGCAACCGGACGAATATATGTACGTGAGTGTTTAGCCGTTTTCATATAAGTTTATTATAATGTCTCACGAAAGTTTGAATAATTTAATTAATACTCACATCAAATGAACCCACTGAAACACTAAGTCTGCATTCTTCCAAAGTTATAAAAATCCCTCCAGAAAGACTTATAGACAGGACGATGTTTGCACGAATACGAGGCTCGACAACCCTTAATCTGAAACACGAAATATGTATTTAAGAAAAAAAAATATTGTTTCTAGAATTAGTCACCCTGAAAGTTATGACGTTAAAAAAACGTAACCTTACTATAGATTTAATTCAAGAAATCTACACTAAACTACTTTGGTATAGCAGTTTTTATAGGCTTCTTGTAACTTTTAAATGTAAAACATTTCTCCTAAAGTATGAGATGATAATGGGCACATAAACAAGCAAGTGTTGAAATTAAACGTGGATAAAGTTAGAGGGAAAATGAAGAAAGTATGGATGGACTGTATAGACGAGGATATGCATAAGAAGGGAGTAAATTCAGATAAACGGCTTGTAGAGATGTCAAAGTACATGTGCCGAACCGCTGCAGGGAATAGATTAATGGTGTTGGTACTTACGACATTTCTCCTCTGCCAAAAATACTTCCGCCGAAAATTGTCAAGTCCAGGTCGTAGGCACCTGAAAGTATCAGTCTGTTATATATTGTCTATAGAGCTATTTACTTGTTTTATTTTCTACACGCATCTGGCCTTATGTACAAAGAGTGACATACTGACCTGCATTAACATCTAATACTGGGATATGGCCATCTAATATGAGTCGGTACCGTTGCTGCAGCAAGGAAGTCATCGTCAAACCGAATTCGTTGATTACAAATGTGCTCAAATTTTCCACTGTTAAATCATTCATGGATATATGTCTGAAAAATATGTTACATATGTTAATTAAGTCAAATATAAATATATATGTAAGTATATATTGGTCAATATAAACTTTGTTTGATAAGGAGTAATTGCTTAAAATCTTTTTTAATAGTACAAGATAGCACACGATTAAGTGGCCATCTGAATACGTCAAAATAGCGAGGTTGCACTTAGAGTCTGTGATTGTTTAGGAGTCCTTAGTGTAGATCTCATAGAAGTAGTAATTAAAGACTGAATACGGCGGTAACAGAAATTTTTGTGGACCAAAAAAAAATTCAATTTTTGTTGTTTGTTGATAAAGAGCTCTTTATCTTACCCCGGTATAATGGCAATAGTGTTTTGATCGATATATAACTCATCTACGAAGAGCGGGTCTAACACTGGAATAGTGTCTGATCCAGTCACCATCAATTCTCTCAACTCTTCAATTAAACCAAGTACCAACTGTTCCAATATACTGTTTCTTGTATTTTCCTCTGAAAATTTAATTAATACAACATTTCAGTAATAAAGAATGTAAGCACTTAAATGGGGCACAGAAGATGACATTAATATACACAACCTTGAATAAGACTCCAGAAACAAGTTTTAATGGTAGCTAAAACTATGCTGTCGTACGAATATTATAAATGCGAATGTTTGGATGGATGAATACATGTTCGTAACAAGGTATCTCCAGAATGGCTGCATGGATCTCGCTGAAATTTGGCATAGATGTAGGATATAGCCTGAAAGAACACATAGGCTACAAATTATTTTTTTTATTGCGCGCATATGGAATCGCGAGCGACAGCTAGGTAGTAATATTTATTAAAGATCTACTTCTTATAGCGTTTTGCCTAATTCAATTTTGTATTTTATATAACTGTTTACCTGTTAGAAATATCTTTTCCCTGATATTTCCCACTTCGACGGGCGAAGCTCCTACCACGGTTAATGCCGCCGCGATCAAAATGGCTAAATAACGCATTTTAGTACCTGAAATAGATATAATTGAAGTACGTTATAAAATGTCTACTTTCTATAATGCATGCAAACAATCAGCTGCATCAGGGGCGTTGTTGAACACCTCGGTGTTCCCGCTGCTCGTTTGCCCCCTTCTGTTATAAAAAAAAGGATCCTGACGGTCAGACGGACGGACAACTAAGTGATCCTATAAGGGTAATCCGTTTTTTTCCTTTCGAGCTGCAGAACCCTAAATAGTGCCTATTTCTAATTTGCTAGCCACAACCCTGGCCGTAAGCGTAGCCAGAAGATTTTCATGTTGTTTCTTCGTTCTGAATAAACAAGAAACTTCTATAAGCGAGTCATTGTCCGCTCCAGACGGTCGACCTCCATAAATGAGAATTTCGGATTAATGCGAAATTCTATAAGCGAGAAAGACATCACGCTCTTTTAAACTCTCGCTTATCAAGTTTCTACTATATTTTGAGCTAAGTCTAGTATCCATAAGTAACAAAATACTTTTAAAATCTTATCAATAAAACAGTAAAATATTAATAAAATACCTTACCCTTTGTCCGCGTACACTGAAACAAAACAATAAATCGAAAATTTGGACAAACACTATTACGAGGCTAGTTATCAGTTTAATTCTGATATCATAAAATTACATTATCTTAATCAGAACATTACATTGATTTCGTGAGTTAATCGGGGATTTTAAAAATTGGTCACGTGTCATGTATGTGATAAAACGAACTACTTTATGCAAAATAAAATATCGTGACTGTCGAAATTATAAATCCCTATGTACAGAAAAGCAAAAAAATCAACCATAGGTATATTATATATAGATATACCTAATATATTAGGTATTTATCATGGTCTCGTTGATTTAGGTTACATTTCGTACGTCAACGGATTTATGCAAGCCTCTTGTTGATTACGAGATAATTAAAAAAAAATAGTGATTGCATATTCAAATGTCAGAGCAGTGAAGTTCTGGGATTATCTTCTCTTTTTTTATATAACAGAAGGGGGCAAACGAGCAGCGTGAACACCAAGGTGTTCAACGACGCCGATGGACATCAGCAATACCAGAGAAAAGTCTTCTTTTACAAACGATTTTTTTTTATTTTAGTAAAATGTTCGATGTTTCATGGTGGGCCGATAGGTACAAAATATTATACGAAAACATTATAAGCAGCTATATTTGCTAAGTGTAGGATTATGAGTACAATATACAATACCTTAACTTAAATGTTATCCCACTTTCTTAAAAACAACAGAAAGCCATTGGGATTTTAAAGCACTGTGGCGTCATCTAGTTCATTTAGTGTGAACTATATTTAAGTCAGAGGAAACCAAAATCATGCTGTAAAAATATTTATTTTTCGAATAATGAAATCATATGGTTTTTGCTTTAAATTAAAGGCACAATATTTCGACACAGTAATATTGACATCACACATAAAGAGCATATTGCTTAAAATTACATTGACTTAAAGAAACTGTTTTTAAACAAATGATATAGATGGCGCTTTCATATTATTTCTCTCTCTCTCGCTCGCTCTCTGACTAATTTAAAAGGCAAAATTATAATTGTTAAATAAGCACCGAACAATCCAAACCTTAGGCGAGTAACGAAATAGAACACCGCTGTATACTCGTACAGACTGATCGAAAGCACTTATAACTAAGCATTATAAAGAAATTGAACCCAATTTCAATTATTTTAATATTTATTATGTATTTGTATTTTATTTTCGGTATATAAACGCTTATTTATATATACAGTGTTCTTACTAATATTATAGTTAAATCAGATTCTACACCATCGAAATGCTTGATATATAAATTTTAATAAATAATGAAAAACAAATATATATGTGTGAGTATTTTATTTAATTATATAATAATACATAAGTTATATTTTTATACATATTTATTTTAACAACACATCGATCTTACTTGCATTAAATCACATTTCAAAACAATCCAACTTGAAGTATTTATTCAAATTAGTTATCAAGAACTCTTTCAACGATGATCCACGCAATGTACTCAAGGAGACCGTTGATGGCAACCTGTAAAAACCATCATTTATTATTTAAAAAACAAAAACCCAGCTGACTGTATCCTTATAACGCTAAAGGGAATTTAACATCTCACTGCTCACAACCTGTTCGTTTAGGTTATAAGCGGTCAAAGAACATGCCCAACAAAATAACCTTTCCATCGGTCTTATTGGTTTATGGCACAAAGTATCCAACATTTACAGATTGCCTTTTGTCATTTCACGTGTCAGATATTTGATATAAATTAAATTAACACAAGCTCTTTGATTATTAAAAAAAGGAAACATATAAAATTACTTATTTGTACCTTTAGGTACATAAATACAATTTGAAATTGCTATAATTATTCTTTTTTTTTCTTTCTTCTTTTATTTTATATGTTAAAGCTTAGCTTAATTACAGTATGATGTTTTGACATTATTAGAATCCATTGAAGCGATTGGCGCTTTCGTTACCAAGTTGTGTATCAGATTGACATAAACGTTAACATTTTAAAAAGGTAATTTTAGCTACTATTAGTGATGTAGTACACTTGAGTAATTTAGTAAATACGAACCGTGTTCTCTTTTACGAAGGCGGGAAGACCGTTGAAGAAGTTGTTGAAGGAGGCGGAGAGGTCGCGGCCGAAGAGGTTCACTTGCAAGTCGGACTAAAAATAAAAGATTAGATTTAGAAACATAATTGAAAATAAAAATATACGGATACTAAAGGTTAAAGGTATGGTAGAGAAGATCACCTCACTATAGCATCCTTTTTTGTCTGCCCAGAAACATAAAAAAAACTCGATATATTGTGAAAATTATGCAAATAATTACTATCCACACTAGAAATAGGTGTATTAGAAAAAGGCTATTGAAGCTATTCAGCAAGATCCGTGCAGCCGTTCTGAAGATACGTTTAAACAAACATTCAGCCAGAAGTCATGGCCTTGCGAGTAAGGGCTGATTATTACTGGTTTCAATATGTTCCTTGACTTACCACAACATTGTCAAGATACAAGTCCAAATCGATGCTGCGAACGGTGATACCAGAGATGACACCGACGGACACCCTGACATCGGCTTTAAGACCGAGGTTGACGATTTCCAAACTAAAACAAAATTAAACTCTATAAATAACACTGGCCCGATAAACCTAAGGATAAACGCTGAATCGTCAACTCCTCGCCCTCGCAACATCATCCCGTCTCACCATCAACACGGCATCCACGCGTCGCCACCTTGACGTCACCGATAGAGCAGGTCAAAGTTATAAATTTGTTAGGAAAGTCACTGTTGATTTCTTGCTTGGATGGACAGCTAGCGGTCCACGAGGTATCGGCGAAGTGTCCACTCGCTTTGTACCCGACCGCCCCGAACTATTCACCCGTGCAAGGGAAAATGGCGTATTGCAATTTTATATCTTCTTGTAGCTTAATCGGTGGCGTCAAGGCGGCGCGGCTAGTGAATACCATGCCCGCGATGCCCGATGCGTGGTGCAAGGTACGTTAACCTTAAATTTTCATTTTTGTTTCGAAGTACACAATAATACTCTTAACTTAAACTAATAAATGTTTTCAAACTTTACAACTTTAATAATTTTAAAGTGATGATATAATTTCAAGAAATCTTTACCTTCCAATACAAGCATTAAGCAGATTAATTCAATAAATCAGACTTAATAAAACAGTTATCAGACTTAGTGATAGAAATAAGCCCATTTGATATGCATAAATTTATGAGATTGCGACAATATCGTTTTTAGTGAAATTCTTTTATTATTACGCAACTATTATGATAAAGAATAATATTGCTAAAATAATCTTAAGCTTCTATCTTATGCGAAAAAATTTAAAGATATGTATGAAGCCAATCCACACTGACCCTACGAGTTTGACTATAACCTAATCACCCTTAACATAGGGTAGACTCCGAACCCCTTAATGGGGACGTACACTGGGCTGATGATGATAAATCTTACGCTTTAACTTTATTTATTAGGTCGTTCGGATTTTTATTTAAAGTTCAAATATTTGTCATACCTTCCACTGCCCTGTCCATCGAGTTCACGGTCGAACAAGTTCATTTCGAAGTGGGATTCACCTATAAATAAACCAAAAAGTTGTAATTCAGAGAAACATATATTTCACAACAGATTTCATAATTGAAATGTTAAGGATATCAAGACAAGTCTACTTTCTTTTTGAACTATAAATAAGCTTCTTAGCCTCTTTCTCGCCTTCACATTTCTTCTCTCCTATTTTGCCACCTATAAATGTCCTAACTTATGTCCTAAAGCAATGTAGATTACTTTCAAAAGTAGAACTTACCAACGCTGCCTCTGAGATTTGGCAGAGAGAGGTCAATGGTCAGTCTCTGGGCGAGGATTGAGAAGTTGATGTTGTTCACTCTGATGTTGCTGAGACCCACCAAGTTAACATCCCTGGCGAAGGCGTAGCCACTGAGGATTCTGTTGAAAAAAGGATTTAATGATAAAAAAAAATCTCCAAAGAGCTTAGGTGGCTTAGGGGTTTAAGCACTTGACTTGCAATCTGCAGGTCCTGGGTTCGAATCCCGCCAAGTACCTATGCGTTTTTCGATTTACATATGTACATTTATCCGACGTTCTTACGATGAAGGAAAAAATTTAAAGATATGTGTGAAGTCAACCAACCCGCACTGGGCCAGCGTGGTTGACTACGGTCGAGTCATCCCTAACTTAGGGTAGGCTTCGAGCCCCTCAGTGGGGACGTATAGTGAGCTGTTCATGAATAATTCTCTAATACCGTTGATTTGTATCGCAGAGAACAAAAAAATATAGAATTTTCAAAAATTTACACCACTTTCATTTTCTTTGGCAACTGAGATAGTAAATGTGTTGCCAATAGGATTTTGCATAACAATGCAAAATGAAAGCATATTAAGACTTAACCTTAAACAGGATTGTAAATATTTCATGTCATAAGAATTAGGAACTTACTCAGGTTCTGAAAGAGCGAAGGAACTCTCGGCAAATTTAAGGTGGTATGGGTCTAGACCACGGGCCTGGATGGCTTGGCTCACTCCGTCGATCAGACCGAGGATGGTGTCGGTGATCACTCTCTGTTGCCTGAGTTCTGTAATAAAATAAGGTCTTGTACGGAAAACTGCAATGTAAATCTTTTATGGATCGCATATTGACTCACTAACTAATAACATTTTTAACCATCAATTTGGTAAATTTTAAAGATGACACGATTATCTAACTCTAAATTCGAATAGGTTGAACAAGAAGGTTCTTTGAAAATCCTCGCCGGCTGGCGCGCGGCAGTCACTCCCAGTTTGCTCCCGAGTAGGTCCCAGTCTCGGAACAGATCGGAAATCATTTGGTTAGCTTAAACACGGTTGCCTAGTTTTATTTATCTATCTGTTTGGTAACAATCTGAGACGTGAAAGAGTGAACGTGTCAGCGAGGTAATAGGACCTCTTTGTTATGACTAAGAGTAACTTTCTAACAATCGTGATTGGAATAAAACAATTTTATTATTTTTTATATTAGATTTTATATATTTTAATTAGAACAACTCGGAAAAATATATTTACCCTTTTTGGGCTTTTACTGCTAAAAATTCTCACGAATATAACCTGCGTAATTAACTTGTGAATGCATTATAAAATGTATAGTTTACTATTCGTATTAAGTATTAAAAAAACTCACCATCTTCGCTAATAGTAGGCAAGGCGCTGGCGCCAGCCAAGAGCATCAAAACGGCAAATGCGTAGGTCTTCATGGTCCTTCGATCCTAATAATTTTAAACGTAAAAATAATTACATACAGCTATATAGTTATATAAGTAAGCATATACTAATTTAAATATTTTAATAATCAAAAACATTTTAAAGTTTGAAAAATAAGTCTCTCTTAAATAATTATAAATAACATTTATTGATTAATTAATTGAATTATTGATTTATTTTATTTACATTGCACTATAAAGATAATTAATTGAATGAAATATGTAAGTACTTATGCAAAATCAATTCAAAAGATTTATAAATTAATTAATATTATAAATTTAATTCATCGATAACTTTTTCCTTTTACAAATTAAAATTACACATAACATGTCCTAACTTACCTTTACACTAGTTGCAAGTAGACTTAGCAATGTGTTATCAACTTTTTATATTGTATCGGAAATCAGTGATTATATCTGAAACATAATTAATCACACGACGATTTTAATTTTATCTATATAATCCTTTCCGTTCGCTGTACTCCATTGACGTTACAAAAGAATCAGGTGTTATTCGTTTGTAGATATAAAAATCCTGTATAGTATAATGACCTAAACTACACCAAGCATTAGAACCTTTATATGTATACATTGAAATACATCATGTATCAAACTAAATGGAGTGACTTATTGAACCAAAATGGTTCTTCATCATCATGTAAGACCCTACAGCCGCGGTTCGACATGGTCAAGTAAATTTCTCCATGCCGGTCTACTTTCGGTTTTTTACGTCCAGGGGGTTAGACAAAGTGCATTCCGAACGTCAAAAATGTTCGAAACTGACGCGCGACAATCACTTGTTGACTCATCGAAAGATATTGTCAGTTCTATACATTTTTGAAGTTCATTGTGGAATCGCTTCATAGCGAATGTACTTTGTTTAACCCAGCAGCTTTTAACGCCAATATTCTTGAGATCACACTCGACGACAATAAGCCATCTTAGCTTCGGCTTACCACGTGCTCTACGTTCATCCGGCTAAACTTCTAACAGGCGTTTAGGAACTGTGCAAACAACCATGCGTGCAACGTGTCCTGCTCACCGCAGTCGTCCAATTTGATGACCTTGACTGACGGCTCGTGGTTGTATTGTTAAGATTTATATGTTTTGTTGTTAACCTTACTAATATTTAGTCCTTTGAAAAGACATAGGCTCTATTTTAACGCAAAAAAGGGTTGTAAAATGGTTTATGCCGCCGAAAATAAGAGTGTCCTTTTGCAGTTCTTTCCCGGATCAGTCCAAAAATTGTTAAAGTTAGGACTTTGGAAGTGTTATGAAGGATTAGTTATTTATTTTTAGATATGCAGTAATATAAATCTATAGCCATTATTGTAGCAAATCTTATGCCATTATTATTTTCATTCTAGTTTTAAGACATTTCTTCTTGGGCCTAAAATATATCTTGTAAAAACAAAAAAACTCTAGTGTAGGTAAAATTGTCTATAGTATCTTTCTTAAATACCTGAAGTGATAATTTATTAATTATAATGATAAAATTATCTAAATGCATAGATACGTAAATATTTATAAATTTATTTAGGTTATCTATGCTATTATTATGAAGAAGAAAGATTTGATTGTTAGATTAGATTAATATGCTCCGAAACAATTGAACCGATTTGAAAAAAAATATTTAACACTAGGAAGATACACTTTCCCCGCGTGACATAGGCTATATAATTATTACTCGACGAAGCCGCGGGCAAATGCTGGTAATAAAGAATTCGTTTACTTTTTTATCGAAATCATCTATACAATGGTTTCCCCGCACATCGTAGCGAAACTCATCTCGCTCTAAAAGTGATGTTATGTGTTCATTGTGCCTAAAGCTAAATTAATTTAATTTATAAACTGACAAAAGGCCGAACTCAACATTCGATCTTGAAACGTTAACCTCAGATAGCATTTTAGTATGTAGCTAATACATATTTTCTTCAATTTCATTCCAAGATTCTGAAAATTTTCTTATAAGGTTCATTTCTTACGCCTTATATTTTCAAATATTGGACATCACCAAATTATATTAAGGAAGACAAAGTTATTTATTTTAAATAATCCCTGAAAACACGGAAATTCCGGTACTAACATAAGGACATATTTTCAAGATATTATGAAGGTTAAAAGTGTTATCTTTTATATAGCTTTGTTTAGAATAATACTGTTATTTGTTGTTATTCTAAACTGTAAAGCAATAACAGTTTCACTTATCCCACATTATCGATAAGATTTTCCTACTTTAAATGTCTACTATCAATATTTATAGTTACATATTGACTAACAAGAACGCAATACCGACTCCACTGTTCTATGTACACAGCTGTAAGTATATAGATTGTTATGTGAATATATAAATTAATTAATATAAGTTATTAATTAATACTCATTATGTTTTTCTATAATGTCCTGACATTGTAATTATGAATCGTCAAGTCGAAAGGGACATACACCCCGATATGTATTTATAACTAACTAGCGCGACCGCGACTCCGTCCGTGTGGAGATAAATAAAACTTAATAGCTCTCCTATGTGTTCTTCAGACAAATCTCTACATCTGTCATAAATTTCATCTTAATTTTTTAAGCTGGCCTGGAGATACTTTCTAACGTGCATTTAAACATCTAATAAAAAATAAGCAGACTGTTCAACTGTTGCAGGTTAAACAAAATATTTATAGTTTAAAGTGTTAATTGTTAAAATCAAATTCAGCAACATAAAACAAACTTAAATACCATTAAAGGACGTGGAGAATATCATCAAATATTATTTAAAAAAATCCGGGAAAATGAAAACAAATACATTTTTGTTGAAATTAATTTATTGGTGAAATTTTACAACATAAGAAAATTGCAGTTGGAACTTGAAGGTTTAGTCAGAAATTAATCATGAATGGGGAGAAAAACTGTCATTTCTTCACTACAGATGTCATCATAATCAAGAATAAAGCACTAAAAGTACCACAGATATACGAATAACACGAAAGCAACGACTCCAGTCGCGTCAATTATTTATAGCAAAAAAAATATGAAAAAAGTATAACATTCTTTTTTTAATCTAGAATGACGTGACAGATGACACTAGCGCCTTCTTGTTAAAGCTATTAGTTTTTCTTCCAATACAATAATTACAGCTCAGTTTAGGTTTTGTTGTATTAAAAATATATTTTATTTATTTAAACAAGCAATGTTTACTTTTTAAGGCTTATTTAAGTAGTGGTTAAGCAGGATTTCGAGGATCCTCGCGAGGCCACGGTCGATGAGTTCCTGCAAATAAAACATTAATTGTTTGAAAATAACTTTTTTTTTCGAAGAACAAGGTAGTAAACTACTGTCTTCCAAGGCACATGCAAACATGTTTTATTCTGCTCTGATCAAAATGCTAATGTAATTTATTTGTTATACTATTTTTGCCTTCTGTTAAAAGTTAAAAACTAAATAATCGGCTCCATTTTCATGGATAAAATATCCTTAAGGACAGTAGGTCGAAAACGATTTACATTCAATGACATAAGTAATGTTTTAAGAGATAATAATCTGAGTATTAATGTTTAAAAAAATCAAATATAATGATTAATTTAAGAACAAAGACACAATACTTACGTCGTAGAGAGAAAGGTTCGCGGGAAGGTTGTTCAGCCAGTTTTGAATTGGGATTGATAGATCCAAGCCGAGGATTCTGACAGCGAGCGCAGACTGAAAATAAACACATCATGCTTTAGTATTGAAAAAGATACGCTAGTTTAAAATAAGAGACCACATTGACGTTATAAGTATAATATTGATATTGATTTTGTGTTACGTGCTTATTGTATTGAATATTGAAAAAAACGTATACCCTAGCTATAGATTTAAATGTCGTTATAATGTTATATGTCTGATAGAAAAAACAATTGTAAATACTACTAAGTTTACAGTGGAACCGGACATATCTGTAAATTGCGTGCTCGCAACTTTACCTCAATCAATGGACCACAACGTACGAGCCGCAATCATCCATTTGTATACGACATTGGACAGAAGGAAATCTAAACGTACTTGCACAATGTGGGTGTATTACTCACCTGGATGCTGTCCAAACTAGCGTCGACATCAACGTCGGTAACCGATACTCCGTCACCCACGGTTACTTTAGCGCTGCCTCTGACTCCGATTCCGTTGATTGCCAACCTAGAAAATAAATCGTGTTACTAACACGATTACTACTAAAATAAGTAACAATTTAAAAGCCTTATTATAATGTTATAATACTTACAATCCACTCAAGCTTCCACTGATTTCACGACCAAGAGCGGTTACTTCGAATGAAGCGCCACCTGAATATTAAGGATACCATATAACATACGTATACCCAACTGAGGTGGGAACAAGATCTTTATATATATATTAGGGAGGGAACTAAAGGCGAAAAATTAATCTTTTTTGTTTGGAATCTTTTAGGAAGAAAATCCAACACTGTGCCGGTGTACTGGCGCAAGACTAGCCTTACTAAAATGTCGACATTTATGTCCCCTTTTCTTTAAAAATAAAATAAACTATTTGATATGATCCCTTTTTTATGTTCTAATCCTTTGTTTTATTTTAATTAATATATATATATATATATATATATATATATATGTGTGTGTGTGTTTTTCCAGGCTCTGCTCTACATCTATGCCAAATTTCAACGAAATGCATGCAGCAGTTCTTTTTACTTTCTAACAAACATCTATTCATAAAAACATGTGCATTTTTAATATTAGTAAGATAAGAATAAGATAATTAGAATAATAGATAGAACTATGTTGTCGTCCCTTACATTTCCTTTGGAAAAACTGAGACAACAATATATACGATAAGGGGACTAACCAACAGACGCCATGAGACCGGGCATAGCAATGTCAATGTTCAAATTATTGCTGATGGGAGAGTAGCTGATACTGTTGATCACGATGTTGCTGAGGCCAGTGAACCTCAGGTTCTCGATGCGAGCAGACGCACTGAATACACTGAAAATCATAATATTTTTCTATTAGTCACGAGAAAAGAAACAATAAATAACTTTAAAAATACTAACCACCAGTACTGAACAATTTCCATCGACCAGACATTGTACATATCCTACATATATTTAATACTAGACAGAAAGACCAGAAAGATAATCGTGTCTCTTAAGAATATGTTTCATATAGCCTATGTGTTCTTCCAGACTATGCTCTATATGTATACCAAATTTCACCAAGATCCATTCAGCCGTTCTGGAGGTACCTTCAAACATCCATCCATCCATCCATCTAAACTTTCGCATTTATAATATTAGTAAGATAAGCCATAGACTAGGATAAGCTGCTTTGATTAAAAAAAAGAACACATTGTCCTCTCATTGAGATCGTGGTCATTTCAGATTCTTACTTGAGATACACAGTAAGTAATGATTCTACAGTTATTGAGGATTTAAAACATAGTAGTACTGCATTGTCTACTACTCTGTCCTTTTAGGCTTTAGAATCAAGTGTTATATGGATTTTATCAGACCAATGATTTGGGCACTTGGACTTTTACTTACGTGGGGAGGAAGAAAACGTATTCGCCATCAGCGCGGTCGAGCACGTAGGGGTCAAGGCCACGGTTGAGGATTCTCTGAATAAATCTATCGAAGGCATTGACGACAATCTCAGCAATATCCCTCCTCTCCGCTCCGAAATCTTAAATAATCAATGAAATAGAAAATGAGAAAAAAATCCTAGTTTACGTTAATCAAGTAAGCATCTCTAACAAATTAAATAAAGTTAAAAAAATGTTGTTTAAACGTACTATGATTATTTTTTTTTAATTTGAAAATGTTAACATACTAAATACGAATGTTTTATTAATTTTAGGAATTTATCTAAACTGCAAACCGTATAATGTATCCAGAAATTCATTCGAAAATAAATATGTGAAACGGTATTAGTGGCATACATATATTACCAGTTAAGTCTTGAGCTTGGGGCAAAGCAGCGGCGCACGCCACCAGCATCAACAGTCCGAATGCGAAGGATTTCATTTTGGTACAACTAAAACAAGGTTACATGTAGATTAACATTGGGTTTCAAGTGCTATGACAGACGAATAATTAAATGTGGACTGGATTAAAAATAATGTTAATAGGTCAGTTATAGCACTAAGGGTAGCTCTAAATTAGAACCTAGGCCTTAGGAGACAAAAGTTTAACAGTAATAGAAGCTAGCAACAATATTGCAAGAATGGGCAGGCTCGCCCTGTGCAATCCGCGACCACACGGAAGACAGGCATTAAGTGGAAGCAATTCCGCGTTTGATCATATTAACCAGCCCATCAACACTAACAACACTAATCATCGGTTTCCGAAACCAAAATATCTGTATAAAACATATTATTATCTCTGTTTTTGTCAAAGATAATGAAAGGGATGACGATATGTTTTATGAATACGGTTTCAATTATTATATATATAGATTTTGGTATAAGAATCCAACGATAAGTTGTCTAACCTAAACTAATCGACTTTAACAACTTGGCAGCTAATCTTTACACAACTGCAGTAAAAAAACAAAGCACAAATAAAATAAATTCTTATCGCTATTTAAAATATAATAACACTTCTGCACCTTACCTTCTTATGTGTAAAAGTTGAGATATTGAAAATATCAACGGGTATTTATACTGTGGACGAATTGATCGATATCTATGAAGATCTAGAAGCTTTTTATAAATTATCAATTTATAAATTCTCATATCTTTAAATCGAATACATCAGATTTAATTCATTTGCACTTATGCGATTAGCCTATTTTGTTTACGATATACAAAATACCTAATTGTTTGCATAAATTATTTGCATTGTGGCCAAACAAGCAAACGGACACTTGGATTCATTAAAATAGCGAAAAAACAGTTGCGCATAGACAACCGCAATTGCAAATTGTTTGCCTACTAATAATTGACAAAGGAATATGAGAACAATGACATACACACAGAATGTTGCCTCTTTCCTATCCTTACCTTATAAGAATAGAGAAGGAACGGAAATAAGACTAAAACCGCTACGACTTAGGGTACGTCAAGAAGCGAGCTTATCACCATCTCAAAGGCCGGCAACGCATCTGCGGTTCCTCTGGTATTGTTGATCTCCATGGGCGTCGTTGAACATCTCGGTGTTCCCGCTGCTCGTTTGCCCCCTTCTGTTATAAAAAAATAGACCTCCAATAAGCATGCTTATCAGAACAAACGCGGAATTGCTCCCACTTCACGCCTGTACCCTACGGAGGGTCGTTACAGTATGTACTACTCCTCCATACATAGTCACCTATCACGTAGGTAACTGACGACAAGGATGAAATAACGTGAATAGAATTAGATGCAAGAAGGTCTTCCAGTATCATTAACAAATGAAGATTTTATAAATTTAAGTACATATGTAGTTAGTGACGAAATACGATTCATCATTACACTCGTAGAAAAATATTTAAAAAAGTACTCAGTGAAATTATTTTAATATTATTCATATGCTAACTCAAGTTGCATAAGTCATTGCCTTAAAATGTTATGAGTAATTGATACCTAATGCTTCCATCTTTCAAGGACCTCAGCTTATTGAAACCCTCAAAAGTCAAAGTCTAGTGAAACTTCTATGTATAACAAATCAGAACCGAACGTAAAATCATCTCTAGGTAATAAAACTTATTAATTTGACCAGAAAAATTTATATAACGTACATAGTAACAAATAATATTATCAATTTAGCAGTAAAACTGATTTTTATAATATAATTCTTATGGATTATAGAGCGGGGATAATAGTGATAAGATATCGATGTCGACTTAAAGCTTTGATTGTTGGAAATAATCAATGCGTGGGGTGGCCTTGAATTTAATTTATACTTGTTTTTCATTCATAATCTGTCATATTTCAGCCTTATATCATATCATATAGCGCCCTCGACTTTGACCCAGTGGATTATGATATCACTAGCTGTTGCCGTTGACTCTGCCCGCGCGTAATTAAAAACAAATTTAATAAGTAACTTTTGTGATCTTCTGCATCTTCCGAATTTCATCGAGATCGGCTAACCGGATCTCACTGAAATTTGGCATACATATGTATATAGTACATAGTCTAGAGGAACACTAGGCTACTAATAAAGTTTTTTTTTAATTCCTCGCGGACGGAGTCGCGGGCGACGGCTAGTTTGTAATATTAGTAAGATCAAGGTTATATCGCAATCATAAACTCATAAAAAACTTTAAATGTCTCACGTTCATCTCTTTACGTAATTTCTCTTGTTTTCAAATCAATATCAAGCGTTAAGGTTGACGCGCATTTGTCCAGTACTCGTCCATCCGGCATCATCCGCCTCTAGTTGCCGAGGACAATCGTCATGTAGCAGTCAGAAACAGCGTTTAATAAATAAATTGGGCATGTTATATTTTTAAATAAACAACTGTCTTTGGATTGCTGAACTGAATACTGAATTACAAACGGAGATATAGACTATATAAAATCAGTGGACACTGGCCGTTGATATTTTTTTTCATAATGATAAGCCCGATTTGGGTAAGCTGCTTCTGGCTGCAAAACAACAACCTTTAAATATAATTTATAAGAAGATATCAAACATGTTTCGGGGTTGCGGGCAGATGATTCCAACATCCTTACTAATATTATAAATGCGAAAACAACTCTGTCTGTCTAGCTGTCCTTAATATAACTAAATAATTAAAATGCTACCCAAAGACAGAATATCACGCGGACGAAGTCGCTGGCACAGCTAGTTTATTATAAAGTAACATTGATTCATGGACCAACGGAACGCTTTGCTTAATGTTACAATTTTTAAGAAAACTTTTTAAAATTGCTTCTTACTCGTAAAACGTGTTAGTTGCACCAATTTTCAGAAATTGTGCCATAGATATAGACATATAGATTTTTTTTACACACTTTGGCGAAATATTTTTTTTTACTTTTTCGTAGTATTAGTTTTTCCTAATAAACGTTTAGAATCTTTACTTTCGCGATAGTACAAAAGATCTACGAGAATTGATATGATACCGTATTATAACAAACATTAATTTGATAGTATGGTGGACATAAATGTACGCTAAGGAAACAAAAAATATTTTTTTTAAAGTTATGTAATTTGCGCAACCCACTTTAACCCACTTTTACCCTAAGTTAAGGGTGACTAGGCCTTAGTCAACCACGCTGGCCCAATGCCGTATGGTTGACTTCACACATATCTTTGAATTTCTATGTGAATTCAGATATGTGCAGGTTGCATCACGATGTTTTCCTTCACCGTAAGAACGTCGGATAAATGTACATATGTAAATCGAAAATCGAAAAACACATTGGTACATGGCGGAATTCAGATAATTCCTGCAGATTGCAAGTCAAGTGTCGAAACCCTTGAGTCACCGACGCTTAATACATTTATACATACAGTGATTGTTTTTTTTGAGCCCTTAATGGATGTAGTTTTAAGGTTATGTTTATTATTCAAACGTATGTGCCATGACTATCATCTTATGAGCCTCAATGTTTTACGTGCGTCACTTCCTCATTGAATACATGCATATAGAAAATGATATTTGAAACATCCAATAAAATTTCGACATATTATTCGTTTTAATTGTAAAGAAAAAATACTGATTATTTAATAAATAATTTATTACAATAACAATAATTATTTTACAAACTCAGATGTTATACATAAAGAAGGTACTTTGGTGCGGTTTGTTAAATAGAGATGTTAAAAATTCGTACAAAACTATAAAAACTATAACATTGTATAATTATGTATGTACATTATACGAACTATTTTGTTATTGCATATTCATTTCACGACTCCTCTTACAAAATCCGATCGAGCACGTACAAGATGGCCCTACGAATAGCCCTGTTGACGTAGTCCTGAAACAATGATAGAAATATTATTAGTTTTAGACATTGCTACAAAATTAGGTGTGAAAAAAAGATCTAATGCAAATTAATGTATTACCAATTTTATATATCAAATTCTGGTCAAAAATTTATATAAAACCTTTTACAATCGATTAAAGCCATATTACTATTAAAAAGTATGAAAAAATCAATATGAATAAACTTACAGAGTTGTCTTGAAGAAGGTTGGGGAGAGTGTTGCTGAGGAAGTTGTTGACGTAAGTAGACACGTCGTAACCGATGATGTTCACGTGAATGCCGGACTGGAAAATGTATTGAAATATTACAATATCACATTTTTAAAAATACCAAATCAAAAGACTAAGATATTTCAGTCTCCTCCAAGAGATCCGAGAATACCACATTTCTATATTTCATTTAACTGTCCATCTTCACAACAACTGTTAAAGACTTATTCTTCCCATTTCAAAATTTCTGAAGGTTACAATATATTTGAATTTTTACATCGAGAGGTATTAAATTATGTACCTCAATGCCGCCAAGACGAGCAGCGACAACAAGGTCGCTAATGGCGACGCTGTCTCCAGACACATCGACTACTACGTCACCGGTGATGCGGAAGTTCTTGACCGAGAGCCTAAAACAAGTTAAACATCATGATAATCAATTAGTTCACTTACTAAGAATTTTATGTCAAGTTTGCTTTAAATACCTTCCCGATGCCAGACCACTGCGGGGAGGACGGCCCAAGATTGAAACTTGTCCTTCTGCGAGACCTGTTAAGAAAGAGAATCCAGCTTACGAAGAGTTAAAATAAGGATAATCTAATACTTTATTTAGTAAACACTCCGAACAAAGAATTAGTGATAACAATCAGAGAATTTTAGTTAGTAGCTATAATTGTAATCAGCCTACTAAATTGTCTTAAATTGTTAGTAAGTAATAACAAATACACACCAAGAGAAGCGCTGATTTCAGGAATGCCAACGTCAAAGGTCAGCTTTTGTGTGATCAGAGAGAAGCCAATGTCGTTGACAACGATGTTGCTGGCACCAATCACGGACAGGTCGGTCACAGAGCCGCGAGCTGTGAATAATCTGGAGAAAGAAGAGAACGTCTTTGTATATAGTGTGGACAATTGAGATGAAATTCTAATGAAATTGTGAAAAGACGGAGTCAACTCACTCACTACAACTTTTTTCATTGTTAAAAAATTTCGTGAATTATGGCCACAGTCCGTCGGGTTTTTTTTTAATTAAGGTTAGGTTATCTATCTATACTACTGTCATTTCAGTGCAAAGGCTAGGGATGTACTAACTTACAGTAGAGACTTCGAATGAAAAAGCTTACCCAGCGATAGGAAATGAGTATTGGCCCTCAACGCGATCCATAACGTAAGGGTCTAATCCACGATTTTGTAGCCATTGGCTTGCACGTTCGACGATGTCAAGAACAACTTGCACTACGTCCCTCCTCGATTCCACATCTGGAATATAATATTTCAATGAAATACTATTTTTAACACATGCCATGAGTTTTCTTGTTGAAGTGCCTCTTGAGTTATGGAAGGTGGGCAGTCAGTTACGCATACTTTTCTCTCTCTCTTTGGCGAGGTTTAACAGTTGAGCGGCACTAGCAATTAAATGTTACGAGTGTTGACAGCCCTAGAATTCTATTTAAAATATAATATGCAAAATGTTCCGGCGTCTAAATGGTTTGTTAGAAACTGATATGGAATTAAATGGTCTTACAAAATTATATCAAATATATAAAAGTTGCTTTGTGACAGAGGGTATTGTATTTTGTATTGTTCTGTTGAAATCTTCTGGAGTAAATTGATTTTTAAGGGGTCCATTATTTATTTTTCATATGACGAATATTTTTACTCGAAGTACGAAAGCGAAGTATGAATGGACTTACCATAAGTTTGTGGCAAGGCGGTGGCGCTGGCCAGGGCCAAAAGGGCGACGAAAGCAAAAGTCTTCATGTTGTACCTTAAGGAAAAAATTAAAATATTAAAATCCAAAAAAATTCAAATTCTAAAAAAGTAGGAATAAAATATATCACAAAATTGAAATACTAAATCTGTTAATGAAAATCATTTCTTTAAAACATATTTTATGAAGTAATTCAATTTCCTTACCTTCCTTTTAGTAAGATTAATATCCAACTGCTGCAGCGACTATTTATATTCAAATTTTAATGGAAGATAACGTTGAATAATATGATAATGGAGCGTTTAATCAACGGTACGAAAGCTTTAAGACGGTCTTTATCAATGCAGATATTTGTATCTAAAATTTTAGACATCGAGACTTGTTTTCCTCTGTATTGAAAATTATATAATATAGCGAACCCGACAGACGTTGTCCTGTTTACACGTCTTTAATTTGAATAAATTAATATGAAGTTAATATTTGATGAAAATTGTGAATCTAAACCATTCCCAGATCCCCTTGAACACACACAAAAAATTTCATCAAAATCGGTCCAGTCGTTTGAGAGAAGTTCAGTGACATACACACTCACAGAAGAATTATATATATAAAGATAAACATTCTGTACGTTAAATTTAAACATATTCTACCATAAAAGTATCGGGAATAGACGTCTTTTACTTGGTGTTTTTAGATTGCACAAATGTAATGTTGTCGGTGTGCGCGACATCGCCGACAAGATGCAGGAGAGTAGGCTGCGATGGTATGATCATGTAAGGAGAAGGCCGCCAGACTACGTCGGTAATTTAGCACTACAACTTTCCCTCCCTGGTCACATCCAGAGGCAGACCCAAAACGAGATGGAAAAATGTAGTAATAAAAGACATGAGTGAGTGCCAAGCTTCAGAAGGAGATGTCATGGACAGAGCGAAGTGGAAGAGACGGATAGGGAAAGCTGACCCTTAATGAATACAGTTATGGTCAGTTTTATCATGTCAATTCTGTGTTGCAGTAAGCAAAAGTTTACTTTAACTATTGTGTTATAATCAGTGAAAATGTTCCAGAAGTTATACGGTGAACCAGAAATAACACAATAATTTATGTGCGTTCAAACGTTAAACCGATTGAGATGCACCGAAAGATTCGTATCGTCCAGGTAGGCCATTAACGTGTGCCACTGAAGTATTGAAAATGTGTAGAAAATCATCAGACCACTGTGTCCCCAATGAGAGGCTCGGAGCTAACCATCAGTTAGGGTTGCCAAGGCCATACTCAACCGCGCTGGCCCAGCACAGGTTGGTGGACTTTACACATATATTTGTATTTCTTCGCAGATATTTGAGGTGTCATCAATATGTTTATAGTAAGAAACGAAAATTATATTGGTACATGGTGGGATTCAAACCCAGGATCTGCATATTACAAGTCCAAGGGTTAATCCCCGACGCTCTGTGTAGAAAATAATCTGAAACTGAAAATCTTCTTTCAAGTTTGAGATAGATAGCCGTCTAACTTTCTGTGTCACACGACTCGATCTGATAACAATATCATTTGAACGGGGAATACACTCTCTCAGTCTCAGAAACACACGGTAAGCGAGTCAATAATGTTGGAAACAAGACGAACGATCTTCTTAGTCAGTACTGCCGACCCGGGATATTATTTCGCCCATATATCTGTGTCTGAAATCATTGTACGTTTGATTTAAGTGATACACCGTAAAAAAATTATGCTGAATGTAAATTGGGGTCAAAGGCACGAAAAAAGCTTTATTAGTTAAAATAATTTCCTTCTTTAGATTATTTCATTATCTTTAAAAAAATACATGCACTCTAGAAAGTTTTCGATTGATTATATTTGTTATCTAAATATATAGGTATGTACATATTATTTATGTAATCAGGTTAATCTAGGTATTATTCGCTGGGGATATAAATCTGTTGTTCTACAGATATGAAAATTAATTTTGTTACCAAGTTGTAGTGTATGCATAAACGTAGTGTTGTTTGTCTTGAGCGTACACGCCATAAGTACACACAGGAGAGGGGACGTCAGTCGATGTCAGACCTTTGAGCCGGCAACACGTGTCGGTACTGGAACGAGCCAAATATAGCGCAACGAATGCTACACAAGTGACCATGTATTTCATAACAATAAACCTTATCTTACTATCTAATTTGCGAAAATTTAAATGGATGGATGTTTGTCAGAAAATATCTCCGAAACGCCTTAACGGATCTTGATGAAATTTGGCACAGATGTAGATCATAGTATGGAAGAATACGTAGGCTACTTAGTATTTTAATACGGTGAGGACGGAGTCGTGGGCGACAGCTAGTTATTATTCCAAATGCGAAAGTAACTCTGTCCGTCGCTCTTTCACGCCAAAATTGCTAAACCGAATGAATAATATTTGGTACACAGATATGCACATACATTTTAATGCGAAAAGAGGCATGTACAGGGTTCCTAGGAAGCTTGAAACTTATTTTTAAACTGTTAATTTGATATAAATAAATCTCTAAATAAAGGCCTGGAAAGTGAGGTTACCGCGGTGAGCTCTGAAAGAAAATAATTAGGTCCTTTTTTTCTTTTCCATCCTTTAAGAGTAGGTTAGCAACGAAAATTGAATTCAACCTGGACGAAATGTAAGGCAATATAACTTCTGTCTGTACCCTCTCTATTTAAAGTAGGCAACGCATCGACAACTCGTTAAAGACTCCTGAGGCCATGGATCGTTTAGCTTTTTAGCGAAATCTAGTGGAAGCTTGTTTATTTATTAACTTTTAAAAACGTAAGGCACTATTACATAATAAATAGCTGTCGCCCACGACTCCATCAGCATGGTATTAATAATATAGTATTCGATGCGCAGACCGATTGAATATGCGTATAAAATTTCATAAAAATCGGTCAAGACGCTTCGAAAAATTATGGTAAATAATACTTTATTTTTTAATGTTTGAAATCTATATATATAAAAGAAAGTTGTGTTAGTTACACTATTTATAACTCAAGAACGGCTTACCGATATGGTTGAAAATTTGTTAGGAGGTAGCTTAGAGCCAGAAGACGGACATAGGATATTATTTATTCATTTTTTTTTCGAATTTATGCCTTGAAGTGCAGCTTTTTATTGAACATATCTATATATTAAGTTTTTTTATATATCCACGCGAACGGAGTCGCGGGCGCCAGCTAGTAATTAATAAAACAGAACAGTATCCTGATTGCATAATTTATCAGTAACAGCATTAATATAGAAAGATTAAAAAAAATTAATGTTACATTTTGATAAGTTTTCACGTTACATTATCAATTGCAGGCATCGTTATCAAGTTTTAGGTAAAGATTTCTATTTATAGTGCCTTTATCATTACCATACCAGTCGCGTAGGGTCGACATACCAGGTCACCAGGTTTTCGTTCACCAACTTGATCTATCGTATACATTCGTATATATATTTTGCAAACTTTATATTGTATATTGCATCGATATCTTACTAATATTGTAAATGCGAATGTTTAGCTGGATGTATGTGTTTGGACATAGTCTGGAGGAACGCACAGACTACTAATTCATTTTTTTATTCTCGCAGACGGATTCGCGGTTGACCGCTAGTATCTTATATAATCGCTTTATCTCACACATCCATGATATAAGTATAACTTTCAAGGGAATTAATTACAACATCATAACGCCCGTAAAACAAAGGGGTAGAGAGGTTTCCATTTGTCCCGATCCTGACACACCTTTCACGCTTCTTCTACATTTATACATCTACGCATACATACATGTCGGTTTCGGGTGCTATTAATACCGCCCATTTTGAGCATTTCATCAATCTGAACGGTAAAAGTCAGTGATCCCTCTCAGAGAAAACACCTGATACGCATCATGCGTCATGCATGCATCCCATACCTTTCCTAAACCCAATCTAAGCACCCCATATTTTTTTTTCTATTCCATTCATGACTCTTACAATCAATTCATTGGCATGCTTTTGTCACCTGGGATTGTTAAATATATAGGATTTGTTTATGTACTTTTGTGTGGAAATCAATTAATATTCCATTTAATCCAAATTGTTCGACAGAAAGTACTCATAGTTTACATTTGAATCTCTTTATCATGAAGCTATTTTTATACAAAATCGTATTATAGGGGTTTCACCTTTAACAACAGTCTTCAAAAATATGTAGTAGACCTTAGCAACTTGATCTGTTAATAAATAAATACATTTTCGAGTAAGTCTACCGTGGATTTTCACTGACTTGTACAGAAACATGTTTTTTTTTTTGAAGAATGCAAGAAACTTATTGTCCAGAGCGACAGCGTAAGCCAAAGATTAGATTTGATTTATAATATTACGTAATCACGCGAATAACACAAATTAAAATTAACATACTTTTAGGTCCTTCATTTCATTTGTTTAAATACTAACTGTCGACCGCGACTCCTACCGCAGGGAATTTAAACCAATAACATAATTAGCAGTGCATGTGTGTCAGAGTATGTTCTACAATTTTCATTGAGATGAATTGAGCCGTTCTGGTTCAGTTGATACCTTCTAGGAGCATCCATCCAAACTTTCGCATTTACAATATTACTGAGACAATGTTCCTAACATTTGAAGTATTGTTCTATATTACTGGACACCGAAGGTTCGTTACTTACTTACTCCGATGGCCCAGCGACCCAAAGTGGGTCTTGCCTCCGACACAAGAGATCGTCTTTTCTTTTGTCGGTTTAGTAATATTTTTTTTCTGTGGGTGAATTGTTAGTCCGGCAAACAACCCTCGTAATGTTGGAGGACCACACCAAGGTTCACAGAAAGATTCAACAATAAGGAATAATAAGGGAATAAAAAATGAAACTGTTTGAGAAAGTTTTATTAACACAGGTATAGTTTATACAATATTACTGTACAATTTACTCGATCATAACTTTACAAATTCATGTATTCATGTCTCCAGAAGGATTAATTGACTTAGAACAGACGACCCAGAACCCACAGGGCAATTCTGGCGACGAGACGGTTAACTTGTTCCTGAAAACATTAAATACAATGTAAAATCAACGAAATATTATCTATAGTGTAACCAGACATATAAAATCCCTCGCTATATTGTGGAACATATAGGTGTAGCTGAAGGGTAGTGGGTTGCTCTTGGCGCCTTCCATTGGACACCCCGAAACCCTCGCAATCTTACTTGAGGTTGGCCGCCGAAAACGTTTTAGTGAGTAGGAATCTCTCATAACCCTGTCTTTCCCCCACAAGGTGACGAAGTTATATTGCGAAGGTTTCCTCTTGATACAAAAAAAGGAAGATAAGCGGTGATAAGCTGTTCAAAGATAACTTACTGAATATTTCTCGAGGGCTGCTGGCAGGGTGACGTTGATCCAGTTGTTGATGCGGTCAGAGAGCTCCCACTCGTTAATACGGATGTTAAGGTCGGACTGGAATTATCAAAAGCAATAAGCATTACTCATCACCTGTCATTTTCTATTCCTCGCAATGTTTAATTACAAAATGCGATAAAGGATGAATAACAAAATATAGTTATATCCTTTTGTAGTTAATCCTCTTCATTGTCCATTTAAAGTAGACTCTTTGCTCGTTTGTCCACTTCATATAATATAACTGGTTATAAATTAGAAAAAATACGAATTATGAAAGAATACGTATTTCATCTGACATCTCAATTCACAATAGGTACGTTTAAGTTCTAGGCCTTCACAAAGAATACATAACCTTCGTATGCCAGGTAGGTAAAAAATATTAACCTTTGCATTCCATTGCCGTGATACTTGTATAAATTGGTTAATCCGTTTTTGCAACTTACTTGTAAACCACCAACGCTGAAGTCAAGTTCCAAGTCGTCGACCAGGTATCCGGTAAGGCCGAGCTGAGCTACGACAGCTACGCGGACGTCACTAACTGCCAAGCTAAAGGAAAATAAAACTACTATTATTAAAATCCATCATCATATTAACTGGGAAACTATCTGTGCCAATTTACACAGGTTGTGGAATTACGCTCTTTTGCGATCTTTTGTTGTAGATTTATATCTGTGCTAATAATAACATATGTCATGTAATTTGATGGCAACCGTTGCACAATTGTATGGTGTTATCAAATTAATTGACATCTTACTAATATTATGATTGCGAAAGTTTAGATGGATGTTTGTTGAAAGAAGAGAAGATATCTGATCAGAACTGCTTAATGGGTGTCAATGAAATTTGACATACAAATAGAAAATAATGTGGAAGAACACATAGGCTACTAATTATGTTTTTTTTAATACCGCACGGACGAAGTCGCGGGCTACAGCTAGTTATAAATAAAAGGTTGTAACATGCGAGTGTGCTCATTTGCAATACAGCGAGAAATTAAATATAAATTATATCGTTTAAATTGAGTATGAATGAATTGAAAAATTGTCATTTAAAATTTGTTATAAACTAACCTTCCACTGATTGCACCGGTGATGGTGCGGCTGAAGATTTTCACTTCGGCAGATCCACTGTCTGTTATAAAAAAAACTTTTAGTATAACTTATAGGTTTTGTAAACTTCAATTAATAGGAGAGAAAACAATCGCGAAGTTATCACACTCAATGAATTCAAAGTAAAATTCCGGCGATGTTGATGCTACTAAATACACAAATACAAAATATTACGACTTATAGTTTGTCTTTGTAGGGCAGTAGTAAAGCGTCATACAGATTCATTAAGGACCGTACCAACAGATGCTTCGACACCGGCGAGACGGAGTTCCACACGGAGCGTGCTACCGCTGAATGAGACATCGACGATTTCGATGTTACCGAATCCGGAAGCCTTAAAGTTCTCAACGGACGCAACAGCAGTGAATACTCTGTAAGAAAGATTTCAGATTTTTTTATGAACAACTCTACATTTAGTAGCTTATAAATGAAACGGGAGCTTCGGTGGCTCAGGGGTTAAAGTACTTGACTTGTAATCTACAGGTCCTGGCTTCGAATCCCGCCATGGACTAATGTGTTTTTGATTTCCGATTTACATATGTACATGTACCCGACGTTCTTACGGTGGAGGAAAACATCGTGATGCAACCTGTACAAAACTAGGAAGAAATTCAAAGATGTGTATGAAGTCAACCAACACGCACCGGGCCAGCGTTGACTATAGCCTAGTCACCCCTTAATTAGGATAGGCTCCGAGCCCCTCTGTGAGGACGTATAGTGAACTGATGATGATGACAATATAATGAAATGAAAGTAAACAATTTATAGTCTTGAAGGATGTTTACAAGAAGAATTGTGATCCTCCTGTATAAAGAAACGACGATATGAAATAAGATAATGATAAAGTATATGTATGGTAAAGAGATTTATTACGATGTAACTTACCCAGGAACGGGGAAAGTGTAGTCACCGGATGCGGATTCGACGACGTAAGGATCGGCCGCTGCGGCCAACTCGATCACTGCTTCCAACACGCCGCGGACAAGGTCGTCTATGATTCTGGGGTTCTTCAACTCTGAAATATTATTTAATTCAAATTAATTACTTATTTTTCATCTTAAAATATTAGATAAACTGTACGTTTCTGAGTCTAAAATCTCTGTATCTATATATCATCACTGTCATTATCATATCATCAGGAAATAAAATGTTTTAATCGGAGATTTTTGTTTCAGAAACTCACTATAAATAGCCTTTGTTTAAATTCAGTCTGTTCGCTGTATAACTGGCAACATGCAATCAAAATCATCTTCTATGTCGTAAGGATTTTTTTTTTCATTGTTATATTTGCTATAAACTATAGTCTTACCGGTGGTCTCGAATTCAGGCACCGCGCTGGCGCCCACCAGCATAACAACAAGAGCGAGAGCGATGGTCTTCATTGTGACGAGTCTATCAAACAAAATCAATTAAATTAAATTTAAAAATAAAATATTTAAAATTATTTATTAATTAATTGTAAATTAAAATTATTTAGTACTAATATAATATAAATAATACTTTTAAAACATTCTACATAATATTGAATCACTGTCATTAACGATAACAAAACTTACATTACTGTATAAGTTTAGTTGAAGTAAAATCAATTAAATTTATTCACACTTTTTAATAAAAGCAACAAAATAACGGCGTGTACTTACCTGAATTATTAATTAAATTGCGAGAATATCAAGAAATCCAACAATTTATACTAATCTAAAATATTAGATAGCATCAAAACTAATCGATCAATTACAATTCTGATCGCTTTTATCATTTTAAACTACGGCAAAAAATATTTTAGATATGTTACAAATATACAGTAATTTGATTATACTCACAAGTTTTTTTGAATAAATAGTGTCTATGGGTGTTAAAAAAAAGTTTTATCTAAGTAAAATATTAACAGTAGTTGATCCCAGCAACATCTGTTGCACGAATGGGCAGTCTCTACCAGCACAATACTACGACTTGTTTATACAAGACAGGCGTAATGTCAACAACTCCACGTTTTGCCTACGGGAGGTCTAAATTTAGTTTTCTTTACCACAGTTTTCGTATAAGGAAGAACATGTAGAAAAGACGGAAGAGAGATTTCCCCCTCCTAGACGCGGTAGTTGCCTCTCTTCCGTGGATTAAAGGGAGGCAACGCATTTGCAATTGCAGATATCTATGGGCAGTGGGAGCTTCCCTTTTCGGCGAATTCAAGTAGCCGCTTACTGATTTACCGTCTCAAATGAAAAAAACTGTTTATTTTAGTTTTGTAAAATGTATGAATTTAGACCCCAATTGCATAGGTTTATTGCAGTTACAAAACGATTACTTTGAAAAATCCTTAACTAATGAAGTCTATTTAGATCATCTGGATCATCATCATCACACATCACTATACATCCCCACCGAGGGTCTCGGAGTCTACCCTAAGTTAGTGGTGACTAGGCCCATAGTCAACCACGCTGGCGCAATGCGTGTCTGTTGACTTCACACATATCTTTTGAATTAAAACAAATGAAACTCGTTTAATATACAAGCATTTATTTTATAATTAAACACAAAATGCGAACATTCAATAATGCAATAATAGCCCTAATTTTTATTAATAAGTTTAAACATGGTTACTATTATAATTTTAAAAGATAAATTGTCTCAAAACAATATTGCATTATAGCATAGGCCATTGAAGATAAGAACTTCCTTTTAATTTAGGCCCAAACGTTGCTGATAAGCGGGTACAAAGCAAAAGATTTATTAGGTGCATATTAATTTTATAGTCACTTTAATTGTCAACGTCCAAATCTTCACTTTCTAAAATATTTTGGAATAATTTTTAGAATTCAATGATGTTTTTTGCCGGATTACGTATCTCAAAAACAAATCTCGTAAGTTTTTAATAAGGAATTAATTCATTCATAAATATTTAACAATTGTACAAAATATTTATGTCAATAGTTATTAAATTACGATAAACTACGTAATACCACAATTAATTTTACATGACGATGAATTTATTTTTTAATCAGCATTGACAACCCGTTATATAAATAACAAAATATACAGCGTGTCCCAAAAATTCAACGATAAAACTGTAATAGTGTACAGCCAGGTCGATAACTACACGGGGAAAAATACTATACTATATGTAATAACACACCAGTACAGTTTTATCGCTGAATTTTGGGACACGCTGTATAATATACATCTGAAACGAATCACATAAAATAAATATCAAATTAAAAAGTACATCGATAAACTATAAGCATTTGGCACTACAAATTGTTTCAATAAAAATAATACTTAACTTTAATAAAATGAAAATCAGTGCTAATTACATCCTACATCTACATATACATGCATATAAAAATTATATAAAAAGAGAGAACAAGAGGCACTCTAACAGTAAGCGTAGTTTGTGAAACTTCTAAAGTGAAAGACAACGACATAATATCCATCACTTACTAATATTAGCCGAAGTTCTTTTACATATATATTAACTGTATGTCTAATTATTGATCGAAATAAATAAAAGCCTGAAATACATCTACATAATACACATATAATAGTTAATTCATCTAAATCTCATAAAGTATCGTCTTTCACAACAGATTACGATTTCGATATACATTTATGGGCTTCAGTAAAGCCTACTGATATTAAATTTTAAAATATTCAAGGAAAGTAAAGCGAAATAAATTCGACTACCTACTTTACAACACTAATCGTCGGTTTCTAAGACTAAAATCTTTGTATAAACCATATTGTTATATGTTTCATCAAAGAGTAGAGATGAATATTTCATACATAGTTTTTGGTATCAGAAACCAACAATAATTTTAATATATTATATACATAATTAGAAATAATTAATTGCCTATGCAACTGACAAATGTACTGCTTCAATAAATTTCTTAACTCTTGAACAAATTGTAAAGATTCTATGCAACATTTAAAAATACCAATATTTGAAAGCTGAACCGTTGGCAACTATGTTCGCTAATCTAAATGTATAGATCCTAAAACATACTAATGTTTGCATACAGTATTCTACAATTTATAACTTTCCGATTTGTTATTGTTTTTTTTTGTATTAAATAGTTGAAAAAATTACTTGTATTTCACTTACTAGTATTATGGTCTTAGATTTTTGAACATTCATATGTTTTTGTTGTTCTTGAAACAATATTGAACGTTTGTCCGTTTATTTTATATTAATCCATATATCACGTACAACTTTCTAATATTGGTCCACTACAAAGTTGTGAAATGACCTAGCTTATTTTATTAACTTACTCCCTAAGGCTAGAATGAACTTAAACATTTCTATGCCTTGCGTGATATGTATTGTAATAGAGGCGTATTAAAGCTAACAATATTTAGTTATCATTCTTCTAAATCCGCTATTGAATCATTTATAGATTTTAAAATAATCCAAAGCGGCGAAACGAACAAGATCTTTACGTGATGGTTGATACGCCTCATGAGCATATTACTTGCATTATACTCTGAACTTTGCTATTTCAAACCTGAATCCGGGACATTAATCGTGAATTTCCGAGACCTAATCTATGTATAAATCATATCGTCATCCCTGTCATTATCTTTGAAAAAAACGGAGATAACAATATGTTTTAAACGGCGATATAGGTCTCGGAAACCCACGGTAAGTATCCATAGATCACTACAGTTTCACTTACTCAATATACGTGGTACTTTATGCAAACTACGTCACAATAATGAGCGACTTTAAAACCTTTCAATACAACCTCCTTGAACAGGTTCAGATAAAAATATGAATATTATTATCTGTGCAAATATGAGACGTATCCTTTTCATTTTAGAGTCATACTTAATTAGTTTTCGCCAGAAATTTGCGCACATCCCACCTCGATAGATATGTAGTGACTTACCAGCTATGAAAAAATTATATCTACGTACAATTTTATTATTAACAAGTGATATGTTGTTGGAGGCATCACTCCTTTTATCATTAATACAAACAATAATTATTCATCACTTACATATTAATTATGGAACTTAATATCGAGTATCCTCTAATAGAGTCTGGACTTATAGCGCAATAAAACACTTTAGGTGGCTTATAAATAAAACTTCTAAAATCCTAATAATTAATACATACAAAAAAAACAATTTTTTATCTTAGGCTCATGCCAAAGAAACAATGCTCAAACGAAGAAAACAATATATATAGAACTAACTGAAGCTTAATTAAAATTGTATAGACAGTTTATTTGACGAATTTAAAAAATATAGAGTGAAAGTTAACAATTGCAATTAAACTAAAGCTGAAAGTATTTATAGAAATTTCTGCGGTTTCTGCTGCGTTGGTGCAGTTCTTTGGTGGTTCCGGTTTATCTGTAATTATAGAAATTAGCATAGAAATTAAAATTATTTTACTTTATTACTACAATATGTCTCTGATCCTTTTAAAAAGATCAAAACGACTCATACGTGTCATTTCTTTGGTTCAATAAATATTTTATATGATCTTAAAAACTTACTTTAATTGTATAAAATCAATTAACCTTCCAAAAAATCTAAATAAATTATATTGTTGTGAACTTACTGGTAGCAGCCATGAGTTGAGGTAAGTATTTTTGCCAAAACGCACATTGCTTCACTCGTAGTCCGTGACCTATGGCACTAGAATTTACAGCAAGGGAGAGATATTCTCTACCAGTTGCTGTATGCAATGGCCAATGGACTTTTGTTATTTCACCATTTGGACCAATCGAAGGATTCCTGAAATTAAAAATATATACATAACTAAAGTACTTAAGTCAATCAAAACTTTAATGATACATTTGGATAGAAACGGACACGTCTAATATTTGATAATTTTACGTACCCAGTTCTAGCAAAATTAGCCCAATATCTCATCAATCGTTTACTAAACTCCACTTCTTCGGGTGAATAATTTTTCCCAGGGTTGAGAGGTTCACCAAATACATAATTGATTTCATCAGCGTGCATCACACCAGTCCATGATGGCCAAGGATTATTCTTACTGCGATGTTTATAATAGTAAGTATACACATTATTACCGGTTTCCGCGTATCGATGAGCAAATTCATTAACACCACAGGTAAAATGATAGTCACCAACCATTTTGTCTAATGCATTGCGATTTTTAACCGGATCATCAGGGTTCAGCCAATCCGTGTATTCAAATACAATAGCTTGTTTAGCTACATCATTTACGTAAGGATTTAATTCTCTTACAGCTTGCAGATACTGTTCCCGCGTGATACCTACATTTTCTTCTTTTGGAAATAATTCCGTGAGATAATAAAGAATGAAATAATAACCCTCTTCAGTATTCGACCCCATTAGTAAATTTGTCTTTTTGAAATTCTGGTGAATCAAAGATCTTATAGGCATCTCATCTAAAAATGATCCATCAATTATTGGAACAAAAGGAAATTCACAGATTCCTAATGTCCCCCATTCATTATTTACGAGTTCATCTGCGCTTTTCTTTCGTAAACAATCAATCATAGGACCCATATCTGTTCGAGAGTTTGGACAATGAACAGCTTCAGCTAACCGTATTCCTCGAAGGATGCTCTCTTCCCGAGATATAATAGCCCAGGGCGCGGTCGCTGCTCCCGACTGCATTATCGCTTGCGTAAACAAATTTCTTGAAAGAGGCGAAAGCAAATGCAAAGATACTGACACAGCACCCGCTGATTCACCGAATAAAGTTATGTTATGAGGATTCCCTCCGAAGTATTCTATGTTGTCTTTTACCCAATGCAATGCCATTATTTGATCAAATAAGCCTGCATTTCCAGGTACGTCCGGTGTATCAAAAAACAAAAATCCTAACGATGCTACGCGGTATTGCATCGAAACGTACACAATTTTTTCTTCCGAAACAAGAATTTTGGGATCGTAAACGTCTAAGGTTGCAGTCCCAGAATAAAAACCGCCTCCGAACACCCAGAGCATTACCGCAGCATTTTTTGGACGAGGTTTAGGCGTAACTATATTAATATAGAGACAGTCTTCCTGCATATCCGTGTTAGGATTCCACATCATAGCCCCAGGGAAATCGCCAAATACAGTATCTACAATTTGAACGCATGAATGTGGCAGTGACGTTGTATTAAGTATTTCATCTCCCCAATTCTCCACCGGTCGCGGATGTCGGAACCTCAAGTCCCCGATGGGTTTTTGAGCATAAGGAATTCCAAACCAGGCATCGACTTGTTTTCCTGTCGCCGCTGTAAGTGTTATTCCTCTGACTTTTCCTTTTTTCGTCCGAACGATCAAAGGATCATCATCTTCGGGACCTAGTTGTGGTTCGTCCGCCATGAGTTCTTCAGCCCGTTCGTGGTTGGAGTAAAATCTTTCGTCGTATCTTGCACGCTTTGAGGATGATTCCGCTTCTTCATACTTGGCTCTTTTCGATGAGGTTTCGTGTTCATCGATACGGGGAAGTATGGTATCTAATTCAGGATTGTACCGAACTGCTTCGCCATGTCCTCGATAGGGTTGTTGTGCGTCTGGAGCAGGGAAATGTAGGGTATGTTCGGGAGCATGATGTCGTGCACGGTGCTCGTGCGGGCCGGCGACTGCGCGCGCCACCAGCGCGGCTAGTGTCGCGACCAGCACACGCATACCGTCGCTACACCCGCTCTAACTATCACCACCTGAAATAAAAAGAAAATAAATAAGTAAGAAAAAATAGCGGAATTTTTAGAAGTTTAAGGTAAATCAATAACAGTATGCCTTATGGAACAGATACACCCCCAAGGATATATAGGTAGTAGTTTCCTGCATTCTAAACAACCTAAGCGATTTTTAAGTGGCTTTTGATTCGTCTTCCCTGGAATGTAATAAAGATAAAGTCAGTCTAAAATGTAGTTTTCCTTAATTACTAGTGTAGAATGCTTTTGAATACACATAATGGATAGATAATTATTCTTGGATTTTCGAGTATCTTTGTTATGCTATCATGCGACATTAATCTTGTCCTGTTTATAAATAGTCTATTCAAGAAAATAGTATATTTTTACTTTTTAAAGAAGATGTAAATTGATCCAATCTTAATAGTTACATTTTATATCTTCGTGTGAATTGTTTTGATAAAAAATATTAATTAACCGCGTGATCGCTTTATATCAATGCGTCATACTGATTATTTATTCCGTAAATTTATCGAACACCTGTGTTTAATTTGAAAAATAATTAGGTACGATTCCGAGTTTTCTAGTTTTTGTTGCTTCGATCCATAATTTGAAGGCTTCTTTTTTTATATTACAAGGTGGCAAACGAGCGGGCGGCCTCCTGAAATCGCTGAAATAGGGAAGTGATCGTTGCCCATGGACATACGCAATTGTATATGCGTTGCCTTACCTTTATAGGGAAAAGAGGATGCACAGAAAGAAAATATTTTCCCTTTCCATGCATCCTCTCATCCGGAAAGTCCACTTCCACTTTTCATCCTTCCCTTATAAGTAAAAGGGTGTTAAAAGAAAGAGGACTAAATTAGGCCTCCGGGACACACACTCATCAGAAGAAACGCGAAATTGCTTCCACTTCACGCCTGTCTTCTGTGTGGTCGTGGTATTTCACCGGGCGAGCCGGGCCAATTCGTGCGAAGATATTAAAGCGAGCTCTACCTCTGTTAAACTACCCTACTACTACCTCTTGGAAGTGTGTTACCCATACATAAACTAGTCGCCATCATTTTGTTGCCAAACGCCATACAAAATTCAAAATCTTTTCTCTACTATCCAATCTTAATTTAAAATAGGTATGAAACTATTTATCAGCTTAAGAAACAAATAATACTGTTTTAAACAGATTAGATATAAATTTCCGGTCACAGTACTAACCCTTATTATCGCAACCATGTGTTGTTCCAGCTGTTGTTTGTATACTCATTGTATTCGTAGATTCAGGTAGACCACCATAGAATGAATACACCGTAGAATGTACCTTTAATTTCGTTATAATTTCGTTCTAAAGGTACATTTTTTTTAGCACGAGGTATAAAATAATATATTAAAGTTACATTTGGTATTGAACAACTCTACTAATTTATAGATAATCTTAAAAAATATAGCAGATATGTTTTATCATTATAATATTAAAATAATATCACAATTTTAGTGTAACTAAAACAAGCCGTCTATTGCTAGCCGTCGGTAGCGGGCAGCATACAGCGGGCGATCGGACAAATATTTGTTGTGAAACTTCGATTGTTTATGTTGGCCGAACAAATCAAACACTCCCAGATATTGCTCTCCTACGGATATTGGATATTATGTTGAAGTAAACAACAGGCTCCGTTATATCGAATCTAAAATTATAAACCATAATGGTGTTTACATTCTTCGTATTATGCAAGGTCGTGTCTGAAATTATGTGAAACGCAGAACAACATAAATCGTAGTTTACTACAGCCAAAAATTACGATTCTACATAATGTGCTACGTCGTAGCGTGAATCAGTAGTGCTTCTACGACGTCTTGTCGGAAAATATTTGCAAAAATGCAAATTTTAAATAGGTACGCGATGAAGACGATTTTGAAGAAATATACCACTTTTGTAACGTAATCTTACAAATATTAAAGCGTTATTTACGAATTATGTACTACAAAATACATATTCAAATTACTAAATAGTTAATACAATATAAAATTGATGCACCGTTAATATTTTTAGAAAATATTTTTACTTTTCCCTTTTTCTTTTTAAAGTTAATTTTCTTAAAATTAAAATAACGTACAATTGTACGTTAGTCTATAGTATTTATCGCACACGAAACTGCATTCAAGTGATTTCTTTTCGTTCGTGCGATAAATTAGGTCAGATAACAATCGCACCCAAAACATCTGAGCCGTTCGAACAAAACGTTGCCAGTGAACCGCGTTGAATTTAATATTAATTCGAATCTCATTTTAATCTGGCCAACGGCGAAGGCGAACAGTTAAAGAACCACTCCATTGCTAAATTCGATACTGCGGCGAGGCGCGATATCGCCAAGTCGCGTGTCGGAAGGTCAGAGGCTACGGCGAAGATACGCCAGTGGCCATTTGCAATTCAAAAGCTACCGCTGAGTGGAAATGCGACTGTGATGCCTCTGACATACTGTTTACTTGCGGCCTTGTGCTAAAAACAATAAAGGTCATACGTCAGTGAGGCTTAAAATTTATCACTCATATATTAACCATATCATATCTGAGAAATAATTCAAAGATATGTGTGAAGTCAACCAACCCGCACTTAGCCAGCGTGGTTGACTATGGCCTAGTCACCCTTAACTTAGGGTAGGCTCCGAGCCCCTCGGTGGAGACGTATAGTGAGCTGATGATGATATCAACCCAACACCGACCCTAAACTGTCCGCTAGTATCATAATCAAGTGCCGCATAGCAACTAATGAAATTAGTCTGACTTAGCAACAAAAATAGGCAAAGCTGCGATTCTGAATATAATAATAGAGTTTTGCAGAAAAGGTAATAATGAATGACCTTTGCATCAAAATCTTCAATAAGCTTAAAAGGTAATGTTCAGTGAAGAATTGTGTCTCTAATCCCTCGTAGACAAAGATATAATCGAATTCTTTGTCTGATGTTAACAATTTATTAAGTTATCACCATCGAGACTGTAAGATTGCAAAGCGAGTGCTTTAAATAAACGATGAGAAATAATACAACTAATTTAAGCTTATAAAAACACTAGCCATTAAAAACAGATTTGCAACATCGGAAAAAAATCTTGTAGCAATATTTTAATAAAAATGATAATTCATCGAGTCAGAACACGAATGCTGTCCATTAAAAGTGTTCCACAAATTGCCGCTCCAATATCGCTGTCTTCGCGGCTGCGATCGTTCCGAACGAAATTTATGAGCGATTTTATATCCCGCGGGAGTCTATTACCGGAGGGAGGCGCTTACGACCAGAATAAGTAGACCTCCAAAACTAGGTTGACTTGCTGATGCTTGAATTATTTGATTTGCGTAATAGCCGAGAAACTTCTACTTGAATGTACTTTCTAATTTACAAAAAGTTACATTTACACTGTCATTTTTGTTTTACAGTCAAAGAATTAAATATGCCTCCTAGGATTGTATATCAATAGTTTTCAAAATGAAAAAACCTCTCAAAGGCACCTAATTAAAATATACATATACGCATATCATATTTGAAGTCTAACTCATGACATATAGTATTATGTAACCATATAAGTATATTATAATTTATATGTTATAATTAAAGAAGTTAAACACTCTATTTTATTGTATATGGCTGTCGCTTACGACTCCGTCTACGCGGAATTAAAAAGAAACTTAATGAGTAGCCTATGTGTTTTCCACACTATGACTATGTTCTATATTTCAGCGATATCCGTTGAGCCGTTCCGGAGATACCGTCAAAAAACATCCATCCATCCATCCATCTAAACTTTATACGATATTTATTATGAATGGGTTTTTATCAAATGCTAACAATGGGTTTAATTAAAAAAAAAACGAACAAGTAATTACGTGATATTTCAATGAAACGTTCATTATTGCTGTTGAAATTTAAAGCTAGGGAAAGAGTAAAATATTTTTTTGTTCTCAGCTAAAAATAAATGGTTTCGTTGTTTGTTTTTACGGCTCAGTTTATTAATTTCAATACAATACAATATTCGTATTTTTGTAGTGACTGTACATTTAAAAATATATTAGTATTTTATTTCTATCACTCAATTCATTTTTAAATTTAGAATTAGACTTATCATACAAGCTGTCGGCCTGTATTTCTCGTTTCCTTATCAATTAAGTTATTAGTCAAATCGTCTCATTGCAATCTGACTTAAAATTACAAATAAATATTAAACAGCTTTATTAAGCCGTTAGCTGATTAAAATTTGTATAAGTAAGTATTTTCGTTCCTTTGGCAATTTTAAAAATTTCGTAAAAAAAATATATATGTCGATATTTTTATCGACAATATAGCACATCACTACGGCCGGCTCATAAAGTGTCCGCACACGCCCCACCGCCGTGGCCGCACATACAAACTGCTTAATTATATTCCTCCCTCTACACAGCCTCTGCACCAGCATGTCTGCACTCAGCTAATATAATGATATAAGACTTTTCAACTCATAACTCTTTTCATATAAGTGGAAACATAGGAAGTACTTATTATTTAAAGAAAGGTTAAATATAGAGAACTTTAAAATATGATTTCAGGCAAATTAAATTAACCCCTTGTAATATATCTATGTAGCTGTCGACATGAAGGCAATCGGGCCGACATGGCCCGAGACCAAGATAGGGCGAACTGGCGGTGCACTGTGGACGCCCTTTGCCCCACTACGGGGACATAGGACTTTAAGTCAAGTAAGTCGATCAATATATCTATACTAATATTATAAAGCGGAAGAGTTTGTTTAAACGCGTTAACCTCAGGAACTACGGGTTCGATTTGAAAATTTCTTTTTTTGTTGCATAGTCCATTTAACGAGGACATTACGATTATAACATTACGCTACGACCAATAATTTTTTTTTAATTCCGCGCAGATGGAGTCGCGGGCGATAGCTAGTAAAAAGTATGTGATTGTAATTAAATAAAGTCTATAGAGAACCATCATAACAACAAACGTGTCTAAATATTAACATAATTTCCTTAAGCATTGCACTGATTTCAACTATTGTGCAACTCTAAATCCTTTGGGTATCGGTCGTCGAGTCGATAATCTGATTCCTACGATATGCGATGCACGTATACGCATCCAATAACCGCAAAATTAATCTAATTATTATGACTCATTTAACGCCAAAGATTTAAGCGCATTCACGATTAATAACAAATCATATAGATAGGGCAAAATATTTTTATAACATTTTTCGTATTCATTATGAAATATAAAACATTATATTCATAGGTTGATAACATACTGTAGTTTTTCATTGAGGTTCTAGTTGATATCCATATATACAGCGTGTTTAGAAATTACTTTTAAAACGAAAGGTCCTTTTTACCTGAAAACGTGACGAATTGACGCAAGTTACTTCATCCATAGATGCTTAGTTTAAGCGCTATAAAGGATGCTGTTAAACAATTTAATATCTCACCTGACACTATCTCCGGGAATTCATGACCGACGTCCTCGGTGCGTTTGGTGCATGCGTGTACCAACTACTTCACATACTTTGCTGGCCACCTGTAACAAAAAAAATATTAAGAATAAATTTAAATCAAAACAATTATTTCTTAAGCTTTTACAGGATGTAACAAAATGCAAAACAAGGGAGTACTCCGAGAATGAACACATCCACGCCAGCAAGTTTTTTGTAGACCCGAGGGGGTCAACCCAATAGGTTTATAGGCACAAAAAGATTTATGTCAAAAAAAATCTTTGTGTCGATCGTTAAATGCCTTACTTAAGTAATTAGAAAGCATCATTAGCTTAACAGCTTCGTAAAGACAAAATTTTATTGCAAAAGACATTCCGAATGGAATATTTTAAAACGGTACATGACTGATTTAAATTAAATTAGATAAATAGTCCATAAACTAATTTATATATAATAAGTTTATGTATATATTTAAAGTAGTGGCACATTTTGTTTATTTATATTTACAACGTATGAGAACTAGTTGTGTCACAATTTGCCTACAAAGTTAGGTAATTTTTATTTTACGTTATTTGATGATTCTGGGTATAATTTAGTTACTTTTTAACTAGATGGCGTTTCAAGTTCTGTTTAAGATAGTAAGATTGTGTAAAATACGAGATATTTTATAAAATGTTCATCTCAGTTGGAAAATTAAAAATGACGTAGTTTCGAGTTGAAATTATTTCTTCATTCGGTTATTTTGCATTCATAATGTCAGGTTGTTCTACTTTCTTGATCGATTCGGCTCATTAATGCAGAAACTTCATGTGAGTTTTTCGCAAATAAGCCGACTTTAATTAAATCGACCATGAATAGGTTAGTTTTTAACTTCAAATGATCCAAAGAGTACGATGTTGGTTTGAAGACAACTCATAAAAATGCATGTTATTTTATTGAGATTCTAAATTAGATGACAAGCAGAAAAGCTACAAGAAGTTCTAGTGTCCTTTGTACTCTACAAGAAAGAAGTATTTCTCGAATTTTCTTTAAAATTCGAGAAATACTTCTAGCGGAATAACACATTATATGTGTCCACACCACACAGAGAGATCGTCTAATGTGCAAGCATTTAGTTAACGAGACCATTTACTTACAAACAGGTAAAAAACAAATCGCAAACAAAAAAGAAATTTATCAAAAAGATACAAAAACTAGAAAATTTATTCCCTTTCCTACATTACTGAACAAAACTTATAATTAACTTTACCCAAAAACTTTTACAATACGCTAGCCCTTTTCAATGTTTATTCGAGTCAATGCGGTCGGGGTGAAACTGCATTGCAGTTGGATTATACTATCATAAAACTTTTCCACTGAAGTTTTACATATAAATATTTATAAGTTTCATTTTTTAAATTTTTACGAAGAATGTAAATACTCTATGACTATTATACTTTGATAAAACCAATTGGTACGGAAGGTATAAAAATGCATTTTTACTAATTTTACTCTGCAAAACACGCGTTCAAAGCATATCGTTATCGCAGTTTTTTTGATGAAAATGAAAGAGACAACATAAGTATTACAATTTGCAAATTATTCACAAATAACATTAAAAAATCACAACCAAGAATTATCACAACTGTTATTATGGTCAATATTTTAAAATAAAGTTTTATTTTTATAAATTGATTTAGTATAACAAACATAAATAATAATTTGTTGCGGACATTAATTTGAAGGTAGAAAACCTCGACGTAAGAGGTACGAGACGAAGACGGGGTGATGATGATGATGATGATGATGAGATAATTAAATGTTACTATTAAATAGTGTATCGCTTATAAAATTAATTAAAGTTAATATATGCCTCTATCCATGAGTAATCTACTCGCCCTCAATCTTGAAAGCGGCTCACTTAGCTGATTGCTTGCAAACCGGACAGCGGCATTTTATAGGCTTTCACTATAGCTGTACATTTTAGACGCCCTTCCGGTACACTTTCGTAAAATGCATTATGTATGTAGCTAACTTTTTCATATTAATCATACGTGCTAATTTTAAGTGGCTTAAAAATAGGCAAATTACGAAAATAACGTTTCTTGTGTAGTAGTAAAATAGTAAGTAAACGGTTTGTTTTTTAAAACAGGTTAACTTATTTATAACATGAATATAAATTATAGGACAATACATGAAGTATTAAAAAAAACTTTTATAATTAAATTCACTGGGTCAAATTTTCAGAAGAACTTTATTATAGTGTAGAGGTAAAAACGCCTGAAGTGATTCGTGTAAAATAAAGTAGCTTAAGAGACACGATTAAAGAAAATATAATAAATAAAATTAAGACTTTGGAAGCGATTTTATTATGTTTTATAAATAAAAAAATATATTTAATCCATTTTAACTTAAGTTACGTTTGTATTCCATAGTTTTCTGAGTGATATTCATTATATTAACAGTGGGAGAGCCCGCTTTAACATCTTCGCACGAATTGGCCCGGCTCGCCCGGTGTAATACCACGACCACACCACATGGAAAGGGAATATATTTTCTTTCTGTGCATCCTCTCCTCCGTCGATTAAAGGTAGACAACGCATATGCAATTGCGTATGTGTATAGGCAACGGTCACTTTGCTATATCAGCGATTTCAGGTGGCCGCTCGCTCGTTTGCCACCTTAATGATATAAAAAAATATATGTACAAAGTATTCTCTACATGAATACATGTAGATAATACTTTCGAATCTGAAAACGTTAACTCTCGTTTTAATATTGTTTAACAAGTGAACTATTTCGTCATTCATAAACTTGGTTACACAACAATTCCCAAGTTGGACACACAAATGGAGTTTGTACAATGCGGAAACATAATACTTAAGCCCTTAGCAGCGCAGCGTTTGAAAACCGGGGAAACTAACGGAAATTGAGCCCGCAGAAAACATACGACGTTATATTACACCTGCAGCATACACACTGTAATAAGTAACAATTACTCTTACACATATCGGCTTCATAATTCTAATTGATTGCTAGAAATGTTGTCTATCGTAAAAATTCTATTTATACAAAAAATTTGAAGATTTTATTTCATTCTAATTTTATTATACTCTAACGCCATCTGTTAGAAAAATAGGAAACCAATAAGATATACATGATATCCCATATCAATCTAATTCGCTGATGAAGTCGCAGGCGACAGTTAGTTAATATGTATTGAAGTATTAAAATGTTTTTAGGATCATTTAAAACATTACTTATAGTGTAACCTTAGATTTAATGGTATTATGGCTGCCTTGAAGTTAGTGTCTTTTACGAGTTTCATATTATCTTCATTTCGTTATAAATTTTAACTCTTTTTATACAACAGTGGTTTCGCTATTTTTTTTTTCATTTCTTATACATTTTTCCTTATATTTGGTGTGAAATATCCATCTGTGCGTTCTTAACTCACTTGAGTGCAATTTGTCCGAGCAACGTCGTCGAGAGCACTCCGACTCGGAACTAAACTGAACTAGTATTTTTGTTAGGAAGTTCTGAATTTTTTTCTACTCAAACTATTTTTATTTACCGTAACTAGTCCGAAATGCTCAAAACAATTATTGCAGAAAACTTTCTGGAGATGTCGTCGGAATAAATTCTAAATTTGACAAAAAAAAAACTAAGTATTTCTATTTTCGAATTATTGCCAACGTATTTTATTATATTACATATCATGTAATATGAAGAAAAAACTACAATCAAAGCTAACAAGAGGCGGGCTGTCAGATGACCTTGAACTGCTGAAGGTGAAGGACAATACAGTTATCATATATCACCTTTCATGGACATTTCGCTACGCCCTTTATTTGTCCGCTACTTCTCATTTGCTATTTAAGAAGTCTTTATGTGATTTATACAAGTAATATCATATGTGAGCACCAACTTAATGTAATTTTCTTAGTAGTTTGCATTTATAAATGTGGTACGAAACGAACACACAATGCGTTTAAAATAAGAATAAGCAATCCGCGCCATATTGCGATGTCGATAAACATATTTTTAAATTAATTTTATATTTAATTTTGGTCTACAGGCACAAAAAGAGTAAAACAAATCAAGGTAAATTATACTTCTCAAAACGCAATCGACGCAATACATACCACATACATAACCCACCAATCGGGCAAATACATGCAAAAACTTCATGCTAGTTGTTTTGATATAAAATCGCCTTGACATCCATAGCACTAGGGCTACGGTCAGATGTATTATAAATGAGCTTGGCATTGAATTTATATGAAACATCGCCGTTAAACGTTCTTTCGGCATTCGACACGCGACATACAAATGACGGGTACGTATTGATTTTGTCGAACACGCCCCCAAATCGTGATCTGATTCCGAACGATTCTTTTATATTTCACCAGTCGACTTTTCAGCCAACGAATTTACTGCGCATACAAAAAGATTTTCGTTGAAACTTTTCGAACCGAACTAACTCGCGTTTACGAAAATATCTTAAAGTTTCAAATACACTCCAGTAAAATTTGGCCACTCTAGGACAAGTGCACAAAGAACGCGGACATGCGTGAAGTGGAAGTAATTCCGCATTCCTGATGAGTGTGCATGCCGGGGGCCTAATTTAGTAAGACCTCTTTCCCATCCCATTCCCTTCTTATAGGGAAAATATGGGAAGAGGAAGTTCATTTGACGGAGAAAGGCATATATAGGTAAGAGAAATATTCTCTTTCTAAAAAATAGAACTATTGCTACTGAACTAATAGGACATTCTTTGCCACTAATCCAAGTATCCAAAACGTTGTATTTAAACGTCAAATCGTGCCTGATTTCTGTGAACTTACTGATTTCATATCAAGAGCGTCATAAAAATCAAATAGGCAATCATAATCAATCAGGTTTAAGATTGCAAATATTTAAATTGATAAAATTGTAATAAACAGACACCATCGTGTTCATTAAGCTGATTATCAAATTAATTTTACGTATATATTTTTTAAAAATTTCCTTCCTTTAAATATATTTTCACACGATTAAAACAAGGGTACAATTGCGAATTACATACTACATATGTATGTTCTTTTGTGACAGCCCATAGACTAAA